TTTTATAACATTTTTACATTTGCTACCCCTGAAGAGTTCTCAAATATTTATGTGACCCCCACATACATGCCATTTGTAACACTTCCAATAACTGCTGTGTAATAATCTTCTTTAAACTTTTTGTCAATGTTATTCTTAATGTGTATGCCAAGTTTCATTTACAATATAGTACAATAAGTTACAATACAATGCAATACAAATTTGTCTTTATTCATTTTGCGTCAAGTCAAAAATGGGCAATAAATGTTTAATTTTTTGCAATAAAAGTCACAACAAATTTTTTTTTTAAACTTTAGTGGATTTTTGTCTTTCTGTTTGTGTATGGTTTGTATGTACTATATTTTTCAATGGCTCTATTTATTTAGGTTATCAATATTTTATTTTCAATGTGGCATGACTTAGTTGCCTTGAAACCAAACTCCCTTCACAGATCACATATATTTGCTCCCACTCAATCATTACGTCTGAAATTAAATGAAGAAATGATACCGTACAAACAATAGTTAACTGTACTGGTACCAACAACGAAGGTGAGAAAGTAAAAGGAGACAAATGGCAAAGGAATGATGTGACCTAAATGAATGAGTTTAATGGCTGCCTACTGCATACTGGCCCCTAATTTATTTCATGAATTACTTTACTTGAGTACACAACTCAAATAATTAACAACCAAACAAAAATTTTCTCAAGTCAGTTAGGGTTTTTTTTCTATTAAATTATGTACCAGTGTGTTAGAACCAGTAGACAGATATGGTAAAAAAAAAAAAAGACTAGTCCTCCAAAAATAAGTCTCTTTCTCATATTTTATACAGTGGCATCCTTTAACTTTCAGATGTTCATTGCAACTACCTTGTGAATTAGGTCAAGTCAAATGAGAAAGGTTGTTGAAAGGAGATTCGAGATATCAGGAAAAACAGTCAGTGTCTGCATGTTTGACTCCAAGTGCCAAGGAAAAAGTTTCAAATTGGTGGTTTTGTTCTGACTAAGCCAAGCTCTCTAGAGGAATAGTTGAAATTAATTCAATATGAATGAAATTTTCATTATTTAGAATACCTAATTAATTCATAAAGTACTGTGTGATTAAATCTTTTAACTTAAAAGATACACATAAATAATCTTAAATAAAGGATTTAATTTTAATAATTAAATTAATATATTTCTTTTCTAAAATTCAAATGAAAACCCATAAATGTATCTAAATAAATTCAAAGTTCCGCAACGAATACCAAAGCTGGAGAGGCCCTATATCTACAGAAGACGTCTTCAGATGAAGGGAGCAAATGTTCATTATTATTATTAGGCGTAATCTTTAGTGTGGCGTTTGTTTTGTCTGTTTATTGGTGCGTCAAACATATATGTCATTGATTATTCTAAATACCGACCCCTCCCCGTGGATGGTCAGAGTAAACATTCCCTGACAGTAGATTGCCACTGTCTGAACATTGCCTGACAGTAGACTGCCACTGTCTGAACATTCCCTAACAGTAGAATGCCACTGTCTGAACATTGCCTGATAGTAGATTGCCACTGTCTCAACATTCCCTGACTGCAGTTTGCTACTGTACTAACATTCCCTGACAGTATATTGCCACTGTCTGAACATTCCCTGACAGTAGATTGCTACTGTACTAACATTCCCTGACAGTATATTGCTACTGTCTCAACATTCCCTGACTTTAGATTGCTACTGTACTAACATTCCCTGACAGTAGATTGCCACTGTCTCAACATTCCCTTACTGCAGATTACTTTACTACTGTCCTAACATTCCCTAAATTTAGATTGCTACTGTCTCAACATTCCCTGACGTTAGATTGTTACTGTCCTAACATTCCCTGACTGGGCTATTCCCTATCATGCCTATGTTTGACAATTTTATAGAAGATTCTACAGACAGCTCTCAGAGGAGAAGTCAAAGAAACAAAGAAGCATTACTTGGGTGTGTAGGGTTCCTTGGGTATTTAGCCTCAATTGGCAGTTGGTGTAAAGGTACTGGGTCATTGCTTTGACATATCAAAAAATAATCTCTGATTGGATAACAAGTAGGGGACTGGAACAAGCTTCCAAAAGCAACAGTTGAGGCGGCTACACTCGATACATTTGTGTCTATTGCCTCCTGTATTCCAACCCCCAGTTCATAACACCACTGCTGAGTCGCCCTTGCAACCAGTGAAGTATCCCATTGAAACCCATGGACAGTAACATCGCAAACCCCTCTGAAACATAGGAGCCAGAATGATCAATTCATTGATCGTGGGCCCTTAAAATAAAGAAGAAGAAGAAGAAGATTTCTGTTACTTGCTAAGTCAACATTGTCCAACAATGGTACCGGGTATATGATAAAACATGACTGTCTATGTTAGTATTCTGAGCATTCCATTTCATATGACCCATCCAGTACAATGAGCCAAAAATAGCTTGGGTGCTTTTTATTGTTATATGAGGTAATCTTTTAATGGATTTTAATGTTTTTAAATAACATTTTTAAAAATCTACATTTTCTTATATGGAGATAATTTTGGTGACTTTCATTTTTATTTCCTGAATAAAATCAATGTTAAAGTTGAGGAACAATGAATGTTATTGGCTTGTAGGATTTTCAGTCATTACTTTCTAAATGCAAATAAATAGTTATCTTTGTTTTAAAATGCATTCATTTTTAATGTTCAATTTTACAAAGCATTTTCAATATTAAAGTTTTTATCTACTAATTAAAAAAAATAATTCTGCTTTTTGTAAATAATGCAATATATACAAGTGAAATAACCCAATACATGGAATTGATACAGCATTATATTCATTCATTTCTCCATGTAGTAGTAATGATTCCCAAAAATAAAGATACATTAGTATTTTAAAGGCAATGGAATTCTTTGAAACTTAAACAATGCATGACACAAAACAAATATTGGCTTTGCAATAGTTTCAATTTATTTGCAGATTTGTTAAAATTTGTTGAACTAAGAAAACTCTCACTGTATAATCTTGACATCTTTTTTTTAAGTTTAGCTTTTATGCCCCAAACATTGACCAGATTGTACTTGACATTGTACGACTAGAACTAAAGAAATCACATTTTAATAGTGAGCTCATTTTTTAGTCATCACAAGAAGAAAAGAAAATAGATCAAAATGGAAGCATAGGGGTCAGTTCCACTCCACAAATCAAGCAGTTAAAAAAATGTTGTCTAGTTATTGACACAAAAAATGTCACCAGTGACAATACGGGGTGGTTCAGCTCTCATTGTAATGTTGACAATAATCCTAATCAAATTGCTTTAAATTTTAAATAAGATGCACAGAAAAGGCATTATTAAGTAATTCTACTTGGGTGTGACTTAAGTTAGGGTAAAGAAGCATTCATATGATATAACTTCCTTCATCACATCAATGTTTCAATGTTGGAGTTAAATTGAAAAATATATTCAAACAAGGAGGGTGAAAAAAAAGGCATTGACCTAAATATTTTCTCAGACCTAAATAAAAACATCCATTATTCAGTCAATTTTATAACATTTAATTGCTGGATAAAATAAAATTAAGACTGTCATCACCAACTGTCCAGAATAAAACAGACCTGAGCATCAAATTAATCAAACACTCTAGATACTTCAAAATAGGTAACACACCAACATGGCTTATCTAATAAACTACATCCAACAATCACCATTGTTAGAATAGTAAAAGGTACAAAAATGACTTTCTATTCTTCAGTGAACATAATTTTATTTTACTGATATACATAAGTATACGGCAAAAGTTTATTTAAATCTGTAGAACTAACTTTCTTGCAGTTTCTAGCAATCCTAAATTCTGGCCAATGTTAAATTAATCTGAGCAGAACATGTCATCTTAAATCACACCTTACATTTGCACAGATTTACAATAATAAAAAAAAATATTGTGTATTTCTGACATTTCTGACCCTACATTATTTTTTTAGTGGATACATTTTTCAAAAGCATAAAAAAAAAGTTCAATAATAAAATAAAAGAGGGGACCAAAATAAAATTTAAGGGAAGCATGTTATTCTACAATTTAAAGTATGGTGACAATGATAAACAAAAACAGATAAACAAACAGTAACACATTATTTTAGCCAGGATCACAACACACCCTCCTCATCAGCAAGTTCCATGGTTTCTAAGTCTTCCTCTATCAAATCAATATCATCGCCAGCAAATAAATCCTCATCAATGTCAAGGCCACCATTGACAGTAGCCCCACCAGAATCTTCCAATCTGGATGCGTCAGGTGACAATGCCGCTGCTTCGTCCAATTTACTGGCCTCTTCTGGAAGCATATGAAAAGTTAAAAGTTTAACATAGTAGCAAATGTTTGCCATGGTGTCACAAGCAAGAAAGTGTACCACAGACTTGGGAAACATCTGACCCAATATAAGAAAGAACATTTTATCATGTGTTAAATAAAAAAAGGTTTTCATTTGTGATCATCAACAAAACACAGATGATCTGTTATCTTTCACAAATCTTCTTGGTGCAGATAATGCTAGTTTCATTAAATCTTCAATTATCATCTCAATAATTTGTTAAATTACGGTCAATGGGTTGTTATATAGAGCTTGTTTACATTTATTTATTTATTTATTTAGGCATTTTTATATAGCGCTTATCATAAAGCTCTAAGCGCTTTACAGTTATTAAAACATGTAAACTAAGTAAATACAAATGAGACACTAGGATAGTAACTACTATTCTATAGAAACAATGAAAATGGCTATAAAAAGAGGACACTTTGACACTTCAGGATTAAACCGAAACAGAAAATTAGGTAGGGCAAGGAGGGTGCATCACAGGTCATAGGCGGACCTAAACAGATGAGTTTTAAGGGACTTTTTGAAAATGGACGAGGTTTCACTATGACGTATATGGAAGGGGAGCTGGTTCCAGAACATAATTTTTCTCGTGCGTGAACTCTGATTGACCCCGCATGAGATGCTGTGTTCACAGATGGGTGTGGCTTAGTCTTTTGCTCTGTCGTGTTGATGCCGACAGCGACTAAAAATAAATAATCTGTTCCAAGTAGTATTTGGTAGAATGATTGTGATTGTTCTAGAAATGCTATGTAGCTTCTCGAAGGCAGGGCTTAGGCGTCGGTAGACCCACCTATATAAAGGATTGACAAGCCCGGAAAAGGACGGAGATTCAGATGGAAATTTTTAACTTTACGAGACGTGTATTATTCTTTGTGTATTTGTGTGCTCATACTCATATGTGTTTATTTCGCATTTAATCATTATTCATTGGCACATTATACGAACTGTGTTAACTTTGTACCTGTACAAGATCTACCATACTGTAAGTTGAAGATTGTCATTATATTTTCTTTTCTTTTGTAATTATCTTAAGACTTAATAAATCTTATTAATTGTAGCTAGAAACTGTTTTGGGTGTCATATCTTTAATATTGTTGACTCTATGGTATCGTCCTTTGTTAGGCACTGTTGATAACGAGCCAAATTAAAATAGGAGATTAATTTCTCATATTAGAAGCCAGCGCATAACAGGGTGGCGCCACTATCAGGTGGCGCTATTCTACTAATATTATTACTACCAACAGCACATTAATTCAACATTAGTTTGAGTTTTCAACAGTTAATTTTTAGAGAGAAGACCATTGTTAGGTACCGTTATAAAGTTTCTACTTTGTTACTGTGATCGTTTCAAGACTTAATCAAATTATTTGGCTGTTGGAAAAAGCATGCGTAACAAAGGAGTGAGAGAGCAGTATATAAAAAGGAGCCAAGACATCAAAGCTATTGTAAATACAGTATTAAAGATTAATACTTTTTAAACTGAACTACAAAAATAAATTACATACAGCAGGCCTGCATGACATACGACTCTCGGCTGCATGCGGCCCATCAGCACTCACTTGGCGGCCCGCGAAGTAATGAAATATTCTTTATCATTATTATTTTCTTAATACCTCCCCCCCTGTCCAAATACCTTTCCACCCGCACAAGTTTTTCATAAAGTATTACGGCCCACCTTACATTTTGAGTTGTGAGGGCCTGACATAGAGCTACCATAAAACGTGAAGTACTAAATGCTCTCAAGACAGAATAATGTGGATATAAATAAGTATCCTCACACACAACCAGTCCCCGTCTTACCTTTGAAGAATCTCTTATACATCTAGCAGTAACAGTCTACAGTCTTAAATTTATAGCCAGAGAGAGAAGTTCCCATAATAGAAAATCTAGATTTAGAGGGTCCAGTGTGGGAGTTCCCTAATAATTGTTACACACTAGATATTATCTTTGATAATGCGTATTGTGTTTTTGAGAGATTTATTAGTTAGTTAATGCTCTGCTTGAGCTTACTTGGTGACATTTTTTATGCTTATTATGATTTATTGTCTAGTCTGTTTTATTTATTTATTTAGGCATTTTTATATAGCGCTTACCTTAAAGCTCTAAGCGCTTTACAATTATTAAAAACATGTAAACTAACTAAAATGAAAATGAGACATTAGGATAGTAACTACTATACTATAGAAACAATTAAAATGGCTATAAAACGAGGACACGTTTTGGCCTATATTACAGGATTAACCCGAGACAGAAAATGAGGCAGGGCAAGGAGGTTTTCTCACGTACCCGTGATTAGTCGGCAATCATGAAATTAATTTGTAGAAGAAAGTTGTGTTTTATATCTCTCTCATAGTAAGCTGCGATATGTATGTGTTTATGGATGTTACAGGCTGTAAATATAATTATATATTAAAGTGGCATTTATAACAGAAGAAGGACTTGTGTTAATTCATTGCCAGTATGACGCATGAACTTGAGAACTTGAGGAATGAAACCAATCTAGTATACAATCTAGTATACAGTTATCAACTGACACAACAAAGCTGACCATATAGCAAGAAAAGGGCAGTAGCTTAATGTGTCAAAACAATACTGATCTAAAAATAGAACACAGCTGTGAACTAACTGGGGAAAGAGATTATGCTAAAACAAAAGCAACATAAACAAGCCCTTTTGTAGTTTCAATAGAAATAAGGAACTATTTTATGTATTTATGATTGGATTCAACACCAAACACCAGGTTTTTAAAACATAAAACTAACAAATGGGTAAATTACTCACCACCTCCATTAATACCATTGACTACAATCGCCTGTAAGTTCTGAAGTCGGTCAGCTGCCGCTTGTGTACCTGTATTGTCAACCTCTACAGCTACCCAATGACTATCTGTTATATCCACTATATTTGTATCATCCACTTCCTGTCATTGAAATAAATTTTTAAAAACTCAATAAAGAGAATTAGATCACCCCTGAGGAAACCTAATGTTATTTGTTTCTTTAAAAAAATATTCTAAATGTACATAATCAAAAGTGTACACATATATATATATAAATCAAGAGGGCAAATGTATAAAGAATCAAGATTTTACACTTACATATAATTAAGATGATCAATGTACATATAATCAAGATTGTACACATACATAAAATCAACTGGGTAAATGTACATACAAATCAAGATTTTACATATACATATCAAGATGATCTATTCACTCACATACAATCAAGATTGTACACATACAAATAATTAAGATTGTACACATACATAAAATTAAGAGGGTAAATGTATATATAATCAAGATTGTACATATACATATAATTAAGACGATCAATGTACATATAATCAAGATTGTACATATACATATAATTAAGACGATCAATGTACATATAATCAAGATTGTACATATACATATAATTAAGACGATCAATGTACATATAATCAAGATTGTACACATACATAAATAACAACTGGGTAAATGTACATATAATCAAGATTTTACACATTCATAAAATCATGAGGGTAAATGTATTTATATAATCAAGATTGTACACATACATAAAATCAAGAGGGTAAATGTACATATAATCAAGATTGTACACATACATAAAATCAAGAGGGTGAATGTATATATAATAAAGATTCTGAATGTTCATATAACCCATAAGCATATAAAGAAAAAATCACTAAATTCAATGTATGTAATATTAAGTTGTATCAGAAAAGGTCAGTCCTATTAGACCCAATATTAAACTTTATAGATGTAAACATATACCCCCAAAACACCTCAGGCCATCAGTAATTGATCACCTTATAAAAAGGACATTCTAATAAGGTGCAGAATACACTGACTTTGACTTTCATTTGTAATCCATTCCAATGAGACCACCATTACTTAATATGACCACCTATATATTACACCACTGTTTGTAGTTGACTGGTACTTGGCTTAAATCTAAAAGAAGAAATATTCCGATCTCAAGCCATTAATATAAAAATTTAACAACTTTAAAATATCTTACATCTTCCTCCCTCTCACGCTCTATATCTCCTTCCTGTGCCTCGTCGTCATCCCCAAGTATAAGGTCAGGATTAAACTCAAACATTTGACGACCACTTATCTGTAGAATAGTAGAATAAATATTAAAGATTAAATCGCTTTGAAATCATTCATTGAAGTATGCCCTGTGACAAATCCTAGTTAATAATTAAATCATGGATTGGGATTAATAAAAAGGCCACACCTCGCAAGATAATCATTTTCTTTTTGACAGATATTCAGCACATAAAATTAACATGGCAAATGTGTTAACGGAAATTACAATCAAAATGAGAGTAAATAACTTAAGTACCCGCTAAAAGTACACCATTATAAATGTCGAAATATTCCTGATTGTTAAAAATACATAGAAGTTAAGGAAACATGTGACTTACTCCAACAGTGCGACCAGCTTTATAATCTGCTTTCTTTTTCTCCTGGTCAGCCATATGCTTTTCTATTTTTTCACGCTTCTGGATTATTAAAAAAATAATAATTTGATTTTTTTTTTTTAAATTAAAAAAAAAGTATAATTATTTTATGTAAATTTTGGAAGAAAAGAAGATTTATAAGATTAAAAGTCAAGGTTTAATTGCAACATTAACAGACAATGTTCAGAACCTAGAACAATTCCAGCAGCATTAACAACAGACCTGTTTACTCTTACGATTTTGGTGTACAATGTACAATTTTGAGGTGTATACATTGTATATACTGTATGTGTATTTTTTTATTTATAAGATAATGTAGAAGTATTTAACAATTTTGTGATAATATTGTACAATTTTAAGTGCTTGAGGGTAAACAAGTCTGTAACAAGAGTTTAAGGAGGAATAAGAATATACAAACTTGTGCTCATGTCTCAGACAAAAATGATGATGAATGTCAATTACATCAAAGCATAAAAAAAAAAAAAATTGGTTGCTTGAAAAACAATTTAATTGAAATGAAAAGTAAGTAAACCAAAACTAGCCATGGTTACCTTCCTTTCCTTCCATTTGATGAAAGTTTCAAGAGTAACCCTTGTCACATTTGAACCAAGTGCTGCTCTCTGGAAAGTAACAAATTACAATAAACATTACAATATTCAAAGGAAAAATAAGAATATCGTAATATTGAGACTATTCTAAAAATAATACATAAAAATTAAAGATTTGAACAATTCCCTTACTTTTAGTAGGCACTTTTAGTAAAAAGTTCAAAACAGTTTTAAAAATATAAAAATAATACAGCCTATAAAATGGTTTAAAAAACACCATGATCAACTGTCTAGCTCGAGTGGTTAAAAAGTTATGACTAATATAGGGATTATTTGATTCATTTGGTTAAAATTGAATTGAGGCCTTGAGGTTCATCTGCGGTGCGTTCAAAACCACACACACAGCTGCTGTAGAAGTCTTGGCCAATGTTTAACCACTAGAAATAAGAAGGGACAAGTAGTGTAGCAGGACAGACAGTTTAACAGGAAGGAACCATCTTTCCAAATGCAAAAATAACTGGGTACTGGGGAGGCGACTGAAACGATCATCTTTTATGCATCCATTTGGGGAACTTGAAAAAACAGGCAACCTACCCCGAAATAGAGAAAACATCTACATCCCAGCCAATCTGCTGTTTGCGGAACCTTCACGTCCCAAGATACATTTGGCCTTGACAGACACAGCAATGGCTATCAAAACAGGAAATTTTAGGGCCCTGTGGACTGCAGCATAATATTTCGATGCAGAGCTGGAGGCTATCAAAAGGGCCCTGGAAAGTGTGTACCACATTCTGCAGAGGGGGGAGGACTCGATGTTATAGTTTACTTCCACCTAAGATCTGTTCTTGAGACCTTGAGTAAGAGGGCAGGTATCACTCACTTAGTTGGCACCATTATAGATGACGTGGGCAATATCAGTGAAATTGGAGGAACGGTAATGGGGCAGTGAATTCCACAGCACATTAAAGTCAGTGGAAATGAAAACACAGACACCTTGGCAAAAACCGGGACTGCTCAGCCTCTGCCTCATATACCAGTATCATATCTTGGTATAAAAAACTAGTTGGCAGACAATTTTTGCACAAAATGTTACGTGCAGTTGAGGCAGTGGGCAGACAGCACGACAGCCAGAGGTGTATTCCCTAACATGCCATCTCCAGCAGACAAGACCCTTGGTGAGTAGCAGGGTCTAGTGACACAGATGCGCACTGACCAATCGGCACATATGTGAACAGGCTAGATCATAACAGAGACCCAACCAGTCTGGTCCCAGAAACTCTAATGCATAAGTTAACCGAATGTCCCTTACTAGATGTTTCAGGGCAGGCCAGGGTGGTGGGAGAGCCTTAGGCATTATATAGCACAGCTCAGCAGATGGAGTTGATTGCTAATGTACTAGAAGGGATCATAAGAGAGTAATCTCAGACCCTCACCAGAATATGTACATTAGTTAGTTTTATTGTACCATTTTATATATATATATATATAATCCCATTTGAATATGACAAAAAGGTTAGTATGTCATTTATTTTAAGTTATTAATGTTGTTTTACAGACCAACTTGTATTGTTAGAATAAACTTTTCCTTGAGGTATTATGATAATGATTGTTCTTTAGTATTATCATAAGTAATTCTTGGATTATTGTTTCAAAAAGTGTTTTTTTCTTTGAGATTACCAAGGACCATTTGTAATTCTCTTGTGGAAATATTGCGATATGTGATTAAATTTAGGATCTATCAATATTAAAGGTCAGTGAATATTTTTTACAATAATTTTTAGTTTATGATTATGCCTTAAGAATCTTAATAATAAAATTCATTAAAATATGATTACATAAACTAAAATATCATTACATATAACTGATAATAATAGGTCTCACAAATAAGTTAGTTTGGGGCTAGGCCTATACAATATACTTTACTAAGTCTAGAGGCCATATATGTATATATATTAACTATTTAAATATATTTGTTGCAATAAAGGCTAATTATCTCACTCCCAAATCATTTATAATTGTATTATTACTATTATAATACTTTTACTTGGCCTATCAAAGTCAAAGACAAGTTGTTATCAATCATTTGTCCATGACAACCAACCCTCAAATTAAAACCACTGCTATTTCATAACCTAAAACTAATTATACATGTTATTAGAATTTTTTTATTTATTTCAAATGATTTATTATGAATTATATTATATTTCCCATTTATATTCTGGATAACCATGCTAAAAATGAAATTAATATACCCACTTTTGTGGAGGTTGCCATTTCGACAATGAAATTACGATACTGGGTACCCATTTTTCTGTCGTTTCAGGGCAATACTGAGGTCTATACTTACAGTGTAAGAACAAGGTGTGAGTGTTAAAAAAAATAAAAATATATATATATATATATAAAATCCTTTTTACCTGTGCCGTATGTTCAGCCGGAAAGGTTTTTTCAATAGATTTTATAAGACATTTCATACAACTATTAGAAACAAGAATTATTTTTGTAGAAGGTTTCTCTTATTTTATTTACACCCCCCCCCCCCCCAGCCGGAAAGGTTTTTTCAATAGATTTTTTAAGACATTTCATACAACTATTAGAAACAAGAATTATTTTTGTAGAAGGTTTCTCTTATTTTATTTACCCCCCCCCCCCCCCCGCCCACTTCCAGCGACACGAATGGATACTTCTTGAGTTGTCTACTGTGCTCTATTCTTTGTTATATTTTCATCTCTACTGTTGGCTGAGGAAGGCTTTATGCCAAAACGTCCTTGTTTTTTGTCCTGTTATCTTATTCAAGCTTCACACATACCTCGTTTTGCTATTTTATTCATTTACTAAGCTTGAAAGCAGTCCTTTAATTTATATTTTCTAGTCCCCCACATTCAACTTTGGTTTTTGTCCACAGCAGTTTTTCCTTAAACTCTCATAGTTGATCCTATTGACATTTCAAAATCACCTACAAAAAAGTGAACCCTGGGGAAGGGAATGATTTTGAGCATTGTGGCTTGGCCAGGATTTTAAAGAAAAAAATGTTATAAATAAAAATAAAAGGTTATTAAAATGAAATAGCAAAAAGAGGTATGTGAAAGCTTGAATTAGAGAACAGGACAAAATGATTAGGACGTTTCGGCATAGAGCCTTCTTCAGCGCACAGGACAAATGAAAGTAACACAAAGAACAGAGCACAGTAAACAACTCAAGAAATATCCATTGTTGTTAAAATAAATATGTATCAACAATCTTTGAGACACCTACCTCAGTTTCCACAAGTTCCTCTATTGAAATCTGATTCTCTTTATCGTCCTTCTTTTGGTCTTTTTTCAGTGTAAAACCTGAGAAACAAAATTAGCCTTGTCATTATTTATTCCTAGATAACAGAACATGTTTTGCTTTCTTTAACGGTTTGTAAGATCATCGGATAGATCCAGCAAATTAATGAAAGAGCAACTCAAAGAAATATAATAAAAAGGTGAGATCAAGCTCAAAGACTGCAAGTTGCATACTAAGTAAATTAGTGAGAGTATCCAGAAACTTGAACAGAACAATTTTCCTTCAAACAAATTTCTTTCATACAAATTTCTGATAACCAGACCAAATGTGAGTCATGACAGTTAAATTATGCCTGTCTTCTATCTACAATACAATTTTAATTCAGCTGCGGTTTTCGTTCACTTAACATGTTAATAAATTCTGTAAACTTCATTCAAAATATGTTTACTCTGTTTACATATTCTGCAGCAAACTGTTTAATGAAACAGTGTGTCACTTCCAGACTCAGAATGAGCTTAAAGATAGAGTTAAAAAAAGAAAGATATAATTTACCAGGTGGAAGACAGTGTCTGTATATACACTTGAGGCCATTAGGGCATTCCCAAAACCAGCCATACTTTTCGCTTTCAACGGCATCAAGGAAAAACTTGCAAATCTGTGGATTCATATCAAGATGAAAATAATAGGTTAAATGTTTTTTTATAAGAAACTACCTTTTATCAGTTGTGAAAAATTGCTCAGTATATATGGTTGTCTTTCATTATAAGATACATTGGTATGACTTTAAAATTTGCATATGATACTGTGAATAATTTAAGCAACACACAATGACCCACAGGCAGTTGTGGGCTTGAAATACAGAAAATGTTTTAAAACATTATTGAAAGAGCAAATATTACAATTGCTGTTTTCAGCTTGGCACTATCACTTTCAGCATGTTTTTTGTTGATAACATCTTCCAGCATAGCCTCATCCCAGTTCTCCATTGTGTCTGTATCGAAAAAGTTCACATTAAAAAAATACAAATCAAAAAGTTATCCATCAAATAGAAATGTCTAAAAGTTCATGACACCTCCCTCCCCAACGCTATATTAACTCATTACTTTTCATTAAAAAAACACACCATAATATGCAAAGATTTTGCAACATAGAATAAAAAAAAGAGAGTTAAGAGATAGGGGGTAAAAAAGCCAACAGGGTTTAACATTTTTAAAGCCATATAATGAATAAACCTTATTTATGTTACTTAGGAATATGAAATTACAACCTTTTTTGTCCTCATAAATATTCCTTTTCTCCCCTTTGCGCTCAATAGTCAAGTCATGGGAAAACTTGCACTTATCGCCCTTTGTACATTGGCCCTGTTTGAAAAAGGCACATAGCACAGACTTGGGATCAACGCCTGTCAAAGGAAACAGTAAACAAGAAATATCATATGAACATCAAAACAGGTTGACTCAACAGAAGTGAAAAAAATGTTAATTAATAAACACCATCTATTCTCCACATGATTTCATTGGGAATAAGTTAAATGTAAGGGTAGGCCTGCATATTCTCTTTTAACACACACCTTTAGCCACTGTTTGTGCCACAGGCTTGAAAAGGGCATTAATTTCCTCCTGTAATTTTTTCTTTTCATCTTTCTTGGTGGTTTTCTCAGCTAGTAGCTGGGCCTCTAGCTGCAAATTAAAAATGAAAAGCAGATAATCATTATTAGACGTTAAACTAGACAGATTTAAAACAAAACTTAAACATAAGTAACCAAAATTTAATTTAAATTAGATTGAAATAAGAAAGTTTTAAATAAATGATTCAAAAGAAAAAGTAAAGTTAATATTAAGTTTTATCAAAGAAAATTGACATGAACTTTGGGGATATAAGGTCCAGCATGTCTTTTCAAGAATTTACTGTTGGTCCCTCAAAATAAACTTACTTTGCTGGCTTTTTGGTTACCATGAGCAACTTGCTGAGTGACATTCTTGATGAATTTTTGCTGCTTAGCACCTTTTTTGTTTTTCAAACCAAAAGTCTTATCCTGAAAAGAAAAAAAACAACAACTGAATAAGTGTATGCTCCTGATTGAAATTTTCATCAGCAGTAAGCCTTGGCTTAATAATATTAGGAATCATTAGGCTTCTTAACTACTAATTTTTTTGCTCAGCAGCTTTATTGGTTTTTTTTTATAGCACATCTGACATCTATGCACACTAAAGAAAAAAAGGCATAAATTGCAGCCAAGTAGTTAACAGGGTTGCTTTTATGCCTGCTACTAAAAAAATTGCAAAAAAGTCAAGGACTTTTTGTTTTAGACCTATGAAGACATTAATAGACACAGGTTGTATAAGTTTTGTCACTAAATTGAATGTGTCATAGTAAATTTTAAAAAAGTGATTAAATTAGCAGCACCACTGACATACACTATCATATAGATATAAAATAGGCCAATCAAGAGACTGACCAGATCAATTATGAAAATAAATGCTTTTTTCGTGAGTGACCACAATGTTAAGCTTTTAACTTTGACCACTTGGCACAGTCAGAGTCAGTTATTAGGTACTCCAGCTCAAAATTTAAAAAAACATCGAAATCTAACATGCACAAAAGCATATTATTGGCCCCATTGTTTGGTTAATAAGGTCCAGGTCAGAGGATTGAAAAGCTCTACACAATCATCAATGTCAGCTGTTCTGCACCATCACATAATTTCATTACTTTTAGCCTCCTGATAGTTAATAGTAGGCCTAATAACAGTTAAAAGTTTTTTGGCCTACACTACAATGGACTACAGCCCAAAATCTAATACTATTTAGTACTGCTTAATAAATAAATTATAAGTCAGTTACAGTAGGAACTCTAGCAAAAGTATTTTGTGGTTTGTTAGGGTGGCTGAAGGTGCAGCCATAAATCATAATAAAGGACCGTGATGCCACATAACACATACATAAGTACTGATATTGCTCATGAAAACCCCAAAAAATTGCCAAAATATTCAAATACTTTACTTTTCAATTTACAGAGGGCATTGTTGTTTTGACTTTTGCTACTTTTATAGTGAATTATTTGATAGGTGTAAGAATACTTACTACATCTACCCATAACTTAAAAGTTGGCATCTTATTTGGTTAAATTTACAATTAATTTGAAGTTTAAGCTTTGAAAATTAAAGTCAAAAAGAGTTAAAAATTACTGAATTAATACCCTAAAAGTCTACTCATAGGGGTCATCCATAAATGACGTGAGGACGACATGTGTCTAGGGTGGGAGGGGGGCATATTTTTGTGTTTTGCGGGAGGTGTGTTTAAGCAATGTGATCTCACATTAAAAGTGGAACATTATAGTAAAAGAAAATGTGCTAAATAACACTAAAATTACACACATACATTTTTAACATAATAATTATTTTACAGACCTGCTTACCCTCTAACTCCAAAAATCATACAATATCATCTCAAATTGTACAATACAGTATCTTAATAGTAAATAAATTTACATAAGTATACATAATAGATACAATAACTACTTGTATTGCGTTTCCAGTGAAATAGAGTTAAGTTGGTATCAAAAAGGGAACTGAAGGTAAAAAGTACATGACTGACGTTTATACTGCTATCTGCTGTCACTTTGTTTTGCAGACGTGTATCTAATTAATCAATTAAGCCGCCATTTAAAAAAACAAAAAAAGCTACCAAGTAGCTTGAGATTTATTTCTTATGAAAAGCTGAAAAAATAAAGAATGAATATCCATTATGCCTATTTCCTATTGATATATTCAGTTTGATAACTATCCAAGGCTGTAATGGTTGAAAGGAAAGAGAGTATTAAAAATCGTACAGCTGTTTTGTGTGTTCTCAAAATAGATTCCAAAGGCCTCTCAGATCCTATAAAAAAATATATCAAAATCTAAGACTGCTGCACAGAGCAGTTGAGAATGAATTCTCTAGTTTTCTCTGTCTATGTACTGTACAGGGTCAGCCGTAAGAAAAATGTCTTGAAATACAGAAAATGTTTTAAAACATTATTGAAAGAGCAAATATTACAATTGCTGTTTTCAGCTTGGCACTATCACTTTCAGCATGTTTTTTGTTGATAACATCTTCCAGCATAGCCTCATCCCAGTTCTCCATTGTGTCTGTATCGAAAAAGTTCACAATACATAACTCATAAGAAAATTAATGCCAAAAATGTTTTAAACAATAAAAATCCAACTTGCCTGGTTCGTGGAAAGTCCTATAGAATTTAAATATTATTCAAAACTCACACTGGGCTTAATTAAGTGTCAATGGTTCTTTACTGTCAATAGTTCTCTCACAAACTTCAATTGTCCTATATGGCGATCTTGGGACACAGTCATTGAGGTGTGGGTGACCGGGACGGGTCACGGGACATCGGCAGCTCACTGGACAGAATGTAGGCGAATCGCCGACACTGGACAGTTCGTGGAAAACTCGCCAATACAGGATCGGGCACGTGCAGCTTGATGCAGGACGGGACGTTGGTGGCTCGTTGAAGCAGGACAGGGCGTTGTTAAACTGAGTGACCGGACAGGCCACAGGACTTCACAGCTCACTGGACACGAAGTTGGTAGCTCACTACCGACAGGACGTAGATTACTCGATACAGGGAAATGCGTAGTCACTTCACTGGAACTCAACTGGACGTTGGCGACTTGATGAAGGTCAGGGCTGGGTATTTCACTGGAACTTGACACGAAGTTGGTAGCTCACTACCGAAAGAACGTAGATAACTCGGTACGTGGAGGGGCGTAGTTAATTCACTGGAGCTGAACACGAAGTGGGTAGCTCACTACCGACAGGACGTAGATAACTCGATGCAGCGATGGTCGTAGTTAATTGCGATGGTCGTAGTTAATTCACTCCAACTGAACACGGAGTGGGTAGCTCACTACCGACAGGACTTGTATAAGTCGATGCAGCGATGGGCGTAGTTAATTCACTGGAACTGGAAACGAGGTTAGTAACTTGATAACGGGCAGGACGTAGTTATCTCACTGGAACTGGACACGAGGTTAGTAACTTGATAACGGGCAGGACGTAGTTATTTCACTGGAACTGGACAGGACATTGGCAACTTGATAACGGGCAGGGCGTAGTTATTTCACTGGAACTGGACACGAGGTTAGTAACTTGATAACGGGCAGGGCGTAGTTATTTCACTGGAACTGGACACGAGGTTAGTAACTTGATAACGAACTGGACACGACATTGGTAACTTCATACATAGCAGGACGTAGTTATTTCACTGGAACTGAACACGAGGTTGGTAACTTGATAACGGGCAGGGCGTAGTTATTTCACTGGAACTGGACAGGACGTTGGCAACTTGATAACGGGCAGGGCGTAGTTATTTCACTGGAACTGGTCAGGACGTTGGCAACTTGATAACGGGCAGGGCGTAGTTATTTCACTGGAACTGGACACGAGGTTAGTAACTTGATAACGGGCAGGACGTAGTTATTTCACTGGAACTGGACACGAGGTTAGTAACTTGATAACGGGCAGGACGTAGTTATTTCACTGGAACTGGACACGCGGTGGCAGCGGGGCTCGGACATTGAAATACGGGAACAGGCGACGATTGTTGTAACTTCACCAAAGTTGAATAGTAAGGAAGTTCTTGTACTTTACCTCAAGTATGAAAATAACGAGGTTCACCAATCCCGGATGAGAAGACCCCATGTCTATCTATACGTTCTTCCCGTACGTGTTCTTCGAGCCCCCATGTCAACTCCTACACGTCTTCTTGGATTGATTACATTCGTCAGTTCTTTCATACGTTGAAGCGTCGTACTATTCTCACTATCAATTAACTAACTCAACTCCTTTTCATAATAACTATAACTTTAATATCTAAGTAAATATAATAAACATCCTATCACTCCAAGGTTCCACTCAAGACTGCCGCACGACTACAACATACGTCACAACACTGCATAGACAATACGTCACGACTCAGCATAAAAATACGTCATAGAGACAATGGCGGGAAGAGCGTTCACCAACTATAATAGTCAAGCGCGGGAAAAGCGTTCAACAACTAATGAACATAATATTGAGTCGCAACAATTGCTAATGAACGCTCATACTCGACACCTTATGCAAAGAAAAAGTCCCATTTTCTAATCCCTTTTTTGACCACACCCCTTGCAAAGGTTTCCATGAGCTTTCGACCCACACCCCCCCCCCCACCCACCCCCAAAAAACCACACTTAAAAAAAAAAAAAATCAAATAATCTTTTTATTTTTTGTAGTTACAGTAAACAAAATATGACACTGGCTTTCCCCACTGGCGATTCGGCGACCCCAGGGATTCCCAGAATATATGCACCATCGCCCTGGTTGCTCCGGCAGAGTCATGAGAATGGGGCCAAGAGCAACAGGCGACAAAATAGCCTTTAGAAAGGACCTTTAAAGTGAATTAAACTCTAAAATCGCATTTACTTCACAATGACAAGAGGCGCAATAAATAGCCCATTTAATGATCAGCCCGGTTGGGAGGGATTCTATATGGGTTGCCGCCGATTTCGAAGAGGGGCGTAGTGAAATATATCACAATTTTATTTCCACTTTTAATCCAGTATGACAACTTTTGTAAGGACGTTTATTTTATTGGGCTATGCCAGTGACTCTAAAATTTTCATTTCCCATCGCTTTTGACAAATTTAAATTTTTTGTGAAATTCTAACAAGTACACTTTGAAATAGCGAATACATAAACAAAATAAAAATTAGGTAAAATAAATATAACACCTATGTAGGTCACTAAGTATCATCTAGTAACTGCAAACAGTAGTTACTTAAGTGGGTTACTTATAGCCTTATATTTTTGTTGAGAAGCATTTAATAAAAATATCTAACTACAAGTTTATTTTTTTCAGGTATGGTGAAAGAGACGCACAATAAGTTTGTGGAACACAACAGAACACAGCATGCATTATATTTCCTGTTGATAAACTACCAATACCCCAATAGCTTCTAGCTTATAGAGAGCTATTGTGCTCCACAACGAGTAGCTTCTAGGCAGCTATTAGTAGATTACTATAAAAAAAAAAAAATACCAATGGGTGATACATTGATGTAGTGCAGTATTGACTAAGTTAAGTCTTAGTATTGGTGGTCACTATTATTTTTTTATTACATCACTGAAATCACTCTTAAGTATGTATGTTGTCAAAAAACGTGGGCTAACCAAAAAATTTTTTTTTGTCTAGTCTCATAAATTCACTTCATCAGCTTTGTAATGCTGCTAATGGTTCCATGGGATTCTGTGCAGTTCAAAACATTGATGACTGCATAGAATTAAAAAATAAATAGTAAATAGTGATTCCTAGACGTTAAATTAATTTGTGTAATGTAATAGAAGCACAATATTCCCAATGAAATAAATTGTTTAATTGTACATAAAAATATTGATGCTTTTATAAGTTAACGAGGGCTCAATTGTGCAAATAATACTCAGACCAATCTCCCAACAGAAAATCAATAACAGGGTTAAGGGTCATCATGTGACCATGTTCCTAAACAAAGATTGGCCTAAGCTTATGTTATCGTCATTAAGCCTAATCACGTTATTATACAGTTCTTTTAATTAAACTTTCTAAAATAACAAGATTTTTTAAAATAGGCACACTTTTCATGCAGTAAAACTATTATTATGGTAATTATAGACGGTACTGTAGATTTTATTATTAGTGTAGAGGTATTGTCACTAGAACAAACTAGTAATGAATGAACGGGGCGATACTTCACCAGCGTCATTGAAAGCGGGTATTTCAAGCTCCGATTTGAGTGTGATTTGATTGGCTGGACTACCAATGCCAAAAGCTCTCTAGAAGCTATTGGCATAATGGTAGTTTACTACAAATAGCTCCATAGAAGCTATTTGTTAGTTAGCTACCAATAGACACTTTAAAAAACAATGGAATTATTTTTTTTTAAACCTGTTTTGTACCTTCATTGATGGTCCGTTACCATATCAAATAAGGTGTAGGTAAAAAATATCCTATATGAAGGCAAACAATTTTTTTTAGATTTTTCACCCACACCTCCCCTTAAAGCATGGGTGTCAAACTCCATCGCTTGGCGGACCAAAACCCACTTTAGGTTGCGGGCCTAAAAGGATAAACATTCAATAAGCGGATAATTAAACCTTTTTCAAACATTAATTTAAATGAAAACAGAAAAATGTTTTAATAATTAAAAATCATTGGCAGACCCATTTTCGCTCTTATGTCAATTTGTAAGAGCTGGATGTTTGGTATCTTGCCTTGGATACAAGTTCGTTTATTTTGGGAGCAACTTCTGTGTCATTGAGATTCTCAAAATGGACAACAAGTGTTCATCAGTGAGACGAGTCCTGTGTGATGTTTTGTTAATCTTCGTCGCATGAACAGCTGCTCACACAGGTATGTGCTACCAAACAACTTTCAAGTCACATGTAGACGGAGCTGGGCATCTCCACACTATTGCCACAAATTAAACACACTGGTTTACCGCCAATATCATTTAACATATATTTAGCCTCCAGGCTGCTTTGAAAGGCTATGTTTTCAGAATCATCTTTTCTCTTGGCCATTTTAAGGCTTGCCTTGCATGATTGTGCATCTACCGACATACGCTTGATTGATATCACATTGGCTGTAGGGTGAAAATGTTATGTAATATCTGGGCACTACACTACTTTCATTTTTTATGTGCCAATCCAAAGCAAGAAACTGAATGTTGCTAGGTTACTGTAACGACGAACATCTAATTAATACACAACTTTTATTTTCTTTTATTTTCGCTTATTGGGATTGAAGCGAGAACGCCCTCAGGTTAGCCTATTGTTTGACAAGGCTGCTAATTAGGGAATTTGATTTTCACTTTATATTGCAGGACCAATAAATAATATTTTTGCCTAAAATTATGTCTCGGGCCCGATATAATTATATGGCGGGCCAGAATTGGCCCTTGAGTTTGACACATGTGCCTTAAGCAATAAAGACAAAGGTAAGCAGTGGCCATGACATATATCATATTACATTATAATTACATATTATGGATTTTTATTGGTGGGGGTGCAGAGGTTTGTAACGTTAAACTAGGTACTTTGATTAGAAAATTAAAACTTTTTGTAAAAATAAACCAATGGCATAGTTGAATAGAGCTAATTTTTTAGAATTATAACACCAAAATCATATTTTTAGCTGTTGTAGTTTTAAAGTTTTGAATTTTTTAAGTACGACCTCGTGTCATTTTATAACATGGACTGCATCTCCAGATTCTGTGACCCAATTCCTGTGTTCGCATCACGAGCTATATAACTCTCGTTTTAATGATAATTTTATGCAACTTTTATTTTCAGAACTAATGCTGTATTAACAAATAATTTTAATAATGTGTAACAATTATATATAAATTATAGTTTATCTTACTATGTATAACAATAAATTTAAAATAATGTATTAATATATGGCTTTTCTGTTTACCAAATCTTCAGCGTCCATTTTACCAGTATATGCTATACAGCCAATATAAGGCAACGCGACCCTTAAAATGTTGTTTGGGATCTACTTATTTTGAACTTTCAACTTTGGCACATGACTAATTAACTAAACCTTTTCCTGACCAATGGTGTAATAGTTTTTGCACAAGGCAAACTCTTATGAATGAAACTTGAGGTGGTACAACGGCATAGCATTATGCAAATGGATGGCTGTGAATGGTTTCCCATGACTTTTTGCACACGGTCAATTCTGATCGTTAATAATATGGACTCTACCGGGTTTTTAAAGCTCAAATTTAAAAATTCTAGTTTAAACGTCTTCAAAATGCATTCTGAAACACAAGTTATCAAATATTTTGATGTATATAGAGGTGATAATGAATATTTCATAAGCTAAGTATCTGCGTTTTCCGCCATTTAAAAGGGGGTGCGATCACTAATCCAAAATGGCCTGTGCGACCTTTGCATAATCAGGTCAACGTTGAGGAGAATTGTGAAAATGTTTCATGAGCTATCTCAATGAAATTTTGCACACATGTACTTCAACAAATTATGCAGGTCTACTTTTAATATGAAAGACCTACTTTGAATATTTAGACCGAATTTTTTAATGCGAAGATGCCTTATATTGACATACCATTTTCCTTTTAGGTACTTTGACACAAAATTTAAATATTGTCCGATTGCCATGAATGATACATCATTTTAAAGGGCTAGCTATAAGCTTTACAACAACACCAATTTCATCTTTCTATCTTTAATAGAAGTGGAGTTATGATTTTTTTTTTTTGATTTTTTAAAACCCCTTTACTTTATCTTAGTATTTAACTGAAAAAACGTGTGACCCACTTTATAAATTTCTGCCTTATTTTGCCCAAAACTTTTTGATTTTAAAAGATAATGCTACCAAATTTTTAGGAGACATTCTCAATGCAATATACAACACAATAAACAACAAAACTTTTATATAACATCAAGACTTTTATTTTTTTTATATATTTATTTAAGGGTATGTTCAGAAAAAAGTGAACAGAAAAATTGAGAAAATCATTATTTTTACAGGAAAAAACGAAAAAAATAACATGTTTATTGAATTTTAACTAATTTTATTATGCTTGTGTTAAATCTTAAATCAATTATTCTATTTATTAAAAGGTAAGTAAGTCTTTTTTATATATATAATATTGAACACATGTAATTATAAATAAAAACTACTAAAATAAAATCATCCATGGCATGTCCATGCCATGATGATGAGACTAAGTTCAAAAATGTTATTTGATATATTAAATAATTGTCTGTGTACTGCTTTTCTATGTCCTAATAAAAATATAATTACTACGATGATGTTGTTGAGTATTGTTAATGATGTAAAACTTTTATATATTATTAATATTTAATTATTCTTTTTAAATTAGAACTATTTTAATTTCTCTTTACCAATTTTGGAAATTATCAATATGATAACAATTTGAATATGTAAATTAGGCCTTATGTAGTATTAGAAAATTTGTATTAGTATTAGCTTATAAAACTTTGGGGCTTAATAATATTAATAGTTATAATTATAGTAGATATTAATATTAGTAAATAGTACCGGTACTTAAAACTTAGGCTTAGTGATAGTGGCTAAGCTTAGAAGAATAGACTTATAAATTATAGTTAAATTCTAGTAGTAGGTCTATAAATAGTAGGTGGGAGCAAACTTATATTAGATTTTATGTATATTTTCTATTTCTGTATTCTAAAATTACAATTTACTTAGATTTATTCAGATATTAAAAGATTATGGAATATTAAAACTCTCTTTTGACTGATACCGAGAGCGAAATTTAGTTTCCGGTGAAGATACAAAATATGGAGAAATTTATTTTTTCCCTCCGTGATGAGAGCGTGATGAAAATATGAAAGGTTTACATTAACCTAGAAAATAGAATATGGACTATTTCAAAGTTATTCCCCACGCCATTTGAATGCTTAACTCGTTTTTAAAGGTTTTAATGTCATTTTATTGCTAAAACAGAGTATTTATACATTTTTATAGCTTACCGTACGGTCAAAGTAACACAAAAAAAGAACAGAGATAAAGCAAGTTGGTCTAAAGATATGTAAAAATAGGAAACTGTGACGTAAAACGCATAAATCCGAGGTCACCGTAGATAGTAGATGCAATTGTAAGATGGCCACTTCAGTTTTTGCATCTTTTTTCCATATGCGCAAACTGAATGCGCAAGCGTTTATCGATATGCCTACTTACATAACGTTGATATAAAAAAATTAACTCAATTCCATGGGAAGGTAGTTCAAAGTTTCTCCTATAGTTAATGGGCGGAGTCAGACCTTAATTATAGGCCAAAAGGACTTCTGATTTATTCAAATTACATTAAATGCTCATGAAAAATTAAAAACTCGGATTCTATTGCGCCAACGCCCATTTCCGATAAAAATTTACTGGGAGTGTCCTTTGCTTCGGCGGAGTACCTGGTTAGTAGTTAGCCTAGTTAAACTGGAGGGGGCTCTAACATTGTGACGATGGGGTGAGGTTAAAAAATCCACAAAATTACCCTGACATTGACGTCATTTATGGATGGTCCACACACTCTTAATTGCTCTTCTATTCACAAGTCTTAACTAATATCAGAATAATACACACTATAGTCCAGGTCCACACAAACTACAAACCATTTTAATAAGTAATAAAAGTTTTTAATAAGTCTTAAGTCTGAATTGTGATGTGAAATAAGGATAGGGTCATTTCTATACATTGACTTACCTCAATAACTTTTTCCTTTTTCTTTTGGTCTGTCTTTTTACTAGGCTCATTTGGTTTCTTTTTTGGAGGCATTTATAATAACACAGAAAATATGTTGAATTGTGCTCTAGGGTATATTTCACCTCAGTTTTAGTTTGGACACGGCGAATTACCGGAAATAGTATTAATACAAAGCGGTGCACATTATGCAAGTTTTATTTTCGAATCCCATTTTTTGTTTCTAATACTAATATGCATTTAGTTTCTTTAAAATGAATGCACAACTTTCGATTTTAATATAGTTACGATTTTAAATGGTAATTTATAACATTAAATTAATTATATTTATATATACTATGAAATCAGTGAATAATGTTTGACAATGTTTGCTAAAACAGTGAGAAACCTAGATGTCTATTTAGACAGAACACTAACTATGGAAAATCACATTAACATGCTTTGCAAGGCGATTTTTCTAGAGCTGCGTCTTTTCAGGCCTTTCATAACGTTAGATGCATCAAAGAAGCTGATGTCTGCATTCCTGCTATCACGCATGGATTACTGCAATGCTCTTATGGTGTGTCTTCCAGCTACGCTCCTAGATAAAATTAAAAAAACACAGAATAATGCGGCTCGCCTTGTTCTTCGCAAAGGCAAATTTGACCATGCTAAAACACTTCTGAGAAAGTTTGCATTGGCTGCCGGTCCGCGCTCGCATAGAGTAGAGTAAATAATTGCAACTCTGTGCTACCACTGATTGCATGACCTGGCACCTTCCTATCTCAAAGAGCTGCTGACGCCTTGTGTAGCCACTAGACAACTACGCTCATCTGATGGTGGCAAACTCTCGATACTACGTGTTCGCCTTGAGACTTACGAGGGGCGTACTTTTGCATTTGCTAGCCCAACAATTTGGAACACCCTTCCTGTCGCTCTCAGAAACAGCCAGTCACTGGAGTCTTTCAAAACTTATTTGAAGACACATCTATTTCGCAAATACCTGCTGGGATGATGTTGCCTATCTAGCTATTATCTTGTGGATGTGTATTGGCCTGTGTTGTTTGTGTTTGTTAGGTATGAAAGACTTAGAATGGGTATTCTCGTACAGAGCCGTTCTTAGGAGTTTGGGGGCCCTAAGCATGGAGCGTAGGTTGTGGACCCCGGAAGGAAAGGGGGGGGGGGCGGGGCGCTATTTATACTTTCCCATTTCCACGGCCAAGCCCCCGATTTCCTGTCTGCCACCCCAAAGCCCCCCCCCCCCTCCTGCCCCTCCCCTCCCCCATGGGGGCCCTAAGCATGGAGCGTAGGTTGTGGACCCCGGAAGGAAAGGGGGGGGGGTCCGATCGCTATTTATACTTTCCCATTTCCACGGCCAAGCCCCCGATTTCCTGTCTGCCACCCCAAAGCCCCCCCCCTGCTGCTTCCCTTCCCCTGCCTCCGAATTCAACTCAGAATGATAAATTTCAGGATGAGGAAGGTAACGTGAGTGACACAGATCGCTGCAGTGCCAGTTAAAAAAAAAAAACTGGGGGATCGAGGGCGCCTCACGGGGGCCCCCTCACGTTCGGGGCCCTACGCGGATGCGTAGTCAGCGTATGCCTAAGAACGGGCCTGTCTCGTATATAGCTTTTGCAATGTTCCAGTTTGTATTTTAATGTGGTATATTATAGATTGTTTCATTTCTCTTTTAATATACTAGACTATGTACCGCGCTTCGAGCCTTTGGGGATGAAGCGTGATTTTAAAATGAACTTTATTATTATTATTATATATTGTTTCCCTATTATAATTATTAAATGGCCATTTGTTTAAAAGGCTGTAACGGGCAACTAGATTATTTTGACTTACTCAACTTACTGTTTCTTACTTAGCGAATAAATCAATCAATATAATTACACCTCTTTTTTCGTAATGACAAAAATATGTAGAGTTTCGTAGAAACATTCTTATACTAGGATTTGAATAAGGTATTTTTTTGGCCGAGCTCCGCTTCGGATAAATTTTGGTCAGCTCCAACTCCACTCTAAGCTCCGGCAAAATTAAAAATGGGGAGAGGTAGTTAAGGGTTGTGCTATTATAAAAAAAAATATTTTTTTTTGTAAATGTATTTATTACTGTCATTTACCCATCTTATTAACTGGGGATAAACGAACTTGTATCCAAGGCAAGATGCCAAACATCCATAAATGACGTGACGTGTCTAAAAAAAAAGTGGGTGGGGGGGGGGTTAAATTTTGGTGACGAGGTGGGCATCATGGAATGTGACGTCACACGAAGACCGGAATGTTTTAGTACAGAATTGCACTTAATAACCCTAAATGACGGACATTTTTAACATTACTCTTTTATCCAACATATCTAATTCGTTTATTTTTAAACTACTATCACTGAGAGAATCAGTACGGGTATCCGAGGTCCGAATAATGGCATCAGATCAAGTTACTGGACGCCAAAGAGGAGGAGAATCGACATGTAGTTACAATGACAGTCGTGCGAATTTATGGCTAAATGTGGACACGGGAGTGATAGAATTTGGACTAGGGGGCTACCGCATGAAATAGGATGGAACGAAAACGGTTGACTATGGAGGGGGGTAGGTACCTTAGTAAATGCTCTAGGCAAGGGATTCTTAAACTTTTTTTCAGCGCTGCAGTCTAGAGACCGACCTAATTTCGGCTTCGGCTTTGGCTTCGGTTTCGGTGCCGAAAATTGCCATTTTATCACTTTCGGGCAAGTTTCGGTTTCGGCCGAAACTGAAAAGTTAACTTTCGGCTTATTTTCGGTTTCGGCCGAAAGAGAAAAGTTAAATTTCTGTTTTTCTTCCGTTTCGGCCGAAATTGACTTAGACTTTCGGCCATCCGGCCATCTTTATGAACAAACTAACCGATCTTTAAGAAAATATAAAGCGATCATTAACAAAAACTGGAGAATCTTTAACAACAAACTAAGCGATTTTTAAGAACAAACTAAACGATCTTTAACAACAAACTAAGTGATCTTTAACAACAAACTAAACGATATTTAACAACAAACTAAACGATATTTAACAACAAACTAAACGATCTTTAACAACAAACTAAACGATCTTTATGAACAAACTCACCGATCTTTAAGAACAAACTAACCGATCAATAACAACCAACTAAACGATCTTTAAAAACAAATTAAGCGATCTTTTAGAACCACATTTTTTAGAGACCCTGTCTAAAAAATAATATTTTGCATTAATTCCCCCCCTCCCCCCCCCCCCATTTTTGCCTAATTTTCTCCTCCCGTCCTAATTTAAAAAAAAAAAAAATTTTTTGAACCCCTCTCTAAAAAATAAAATTTTTCATTTATCCCCCCCCCCCCCCCCCCCCCCCATTTTTGCCTAATTTTCTCCTACCGTACTAATTTAAAAAAAAAAAAATTGTAAAGCAATTTAAATTACTTTTACATTAAAATATTAAAATGGTAAAATCCAAAGTATTCATTAGATCAAGGGTCTCAAACTCAAATCATGGGGGTGAGGAGGGGGGGCGCAGGAGGTAGTGTCTGAATGAGAGTGGGCCGCATCAAGTAATCCACAAAAAAGCGATTACAACTGTTACAATCTGCTCAACCTTTATAAATAACAATAAAATCATTAAGGGTTCCCAGAACTTCTCACTGTTGCCAGAGACATGGCATACAAAAATATATAGAAATATAAAAAAAATATTAAAAAATCAGAATTAGACTAGTCGGTGAGATTCGACTAAAACCGTCGCGGAGAGTCACGTTATAGATATGAGAATGGGGGAAACGGGCCGGCGCATTTACACTAAACTTTTCTGTCATGTAGCGGGCCGCAAAATATCGTCTAGCGGGTCACAAATGGCACATTTTAACTATTATCTTGCTTTAAATATTATAAATTAATTTTAAAATATATAAATTAAAATAAAATAATTATAAAAATTCAATTGGGAAATATGTCACAATATTATAGGCTAGTAATGCGATTACATTAAAGTAATTGTTGTAGGCTACAGAAGATCGTAGCAAAAGCCCCATGATCAGTAATGGGTTAAGTGAAACACTGCGGCTGGAAAATAATAATAAAAAAAGTTCCCAAAGTTGTAAAAAAAAATCTCAACAATAAATTTTAAATGCAGGATGCACAAGAACTGAAAACTGATATGATCTGGAACGTAGAATTATTATTTTTATAAGGACGTTATTTTTAGTTTAGATGTCTTAGACGGGCATCTCCATTTGGCATTTATGTGATAATCGTGGAGAAAAGAACAAGTAAGGGAAACTACTATCGTAAACTTTTTAGTAAAATTTCAGTAGGCTGTAATCATCCAGAGGCGTAGCGAGAGTGTTTGGCGCCCGGGGACAAGATTCATTTGAAAGAGCCTCCCTTTCTAGGTTTCAACTCTCAAACCCATTATTTTCAGTACCGGTAATAAAATAATATCAACGCACATTTTGGCGCCCATAAGTAGTCTGGCACGCTCATTTTTTAATACGCCTCTGAAACTTGTATCTGAGCTCATTCTGGAATAACGTCAGAAGATCAAGTACGGTACAACTGAAGATAATCAGGGTTTTATTCTTGATATATTTCAAGTCGATCCTCAGGCTTTGCTTAATTTAAACCTTGTGTGGCCGCTGGTTCATTTCCCATTCTCATAGCTGCTTTATCCTAACGTTCCGTTCCGAGTGCCACATTGTTCTAGATCAGTGGTTCTCAACCTTTCTAATGCCGCGACCCTTTAATACAGTTCCTCATGTCGTGGCGACCCCCAACCACAAAATTAATTTCGTTGATACTTTATAACTCTAGAGTACATGTCTTTTCAGATGGTCTTAGGCGACCCCTGTGAAAGGGTCGTGCGACCCCCAAAGGGGTCGCGACCCACAGGTTGAGAACCGCTGTTCTAGATACTTTTTTTCATTTTTATTTTGTTTTGGGTATCTATTTTTTGTATTCTTATCTTTTTTTGAGGAGTTTTCAAAGCTGGTGATGGATGCTGGATGGCTCCGTGGAAATGATGTTGGCGATGTCCTATTATTTTCATTATTTTACCAAGTTTGCTTCTTTTACGCATCTCTGAAAGAGATTTAAGAGATATTTTTTTATTTTTTTTAAATTGGATGGTGCCTTCTCTTTGCGTTGGCGTTAAACTTCTATTCAGAACACCCCCTACACGCTTAAGAATATCTTTTAAAACTAAATAATGAATACATTATATCATTAAATTAGATAGCGATGTTTGATGACATTCAATCATTCATTTAATACCCTAACCATCATGGCTGCCGGCAACGTACAGATCCCCAAACTGACCGACGGCTACTTGGGCCCACAGGCCAAGTTCGAAGCTTACGGGCTCACCCTCGTGTCTCACGGCGACCCGGTCATCTTCATGCAAGATGATCAGAAGGAAGTGGAGATCATTCTAGGCATCCAGCCGGGGACGAGGGTCACGATCAAACTCTTGTCCCACGAGAGAAAACAGGAATGCAACGACTACTGCCTGATCAGACAACTGGGGCCCAACTACCTCTTCCTGATTCGCCCGCCCCTGCCCGGTTTCTACAAATTCCAGATCTACGCGCTCCCAAGCGACGAGGCCGGTCCGCAGATGCTGGGCGTGTACAACTATCTCATTTACAGCCCCCGCAGCTTTGGGGACAATCCTTTTCCCAAGCAGTACCCGCCGTGGAAGGACGGCTGCTACCTGTACGAGCCGATATCCTTGCCCCGTGGGATCAGGGACCCCATGGTTAAGTTTAAGGTGCTGATCCCCAAGGTGAGAGACGTTCAAGTGAAAGTCGCCGAGGAATGGAACCCGCTGCAGCAATCGGAGCCGGGGATATTCAAGGGGCTGGTAGACTTTAGCCTCGGTTACCCTTCAGGGGCTAAGGCGAAACTGAATGTTCAATTCGCTGGGAACAATTATAACACGCTTTTGGAATATTCGCTTTAAAATTTACTGTAAAACTATGCATTTCTTCTGCCGTTTAAATTTAACCACTGCGCATATCTTAGCTTGGGTGTGGAGGTCGCTACGTTACATTTTAAATAAGTATTCTTCTTCTTCTATATCTTAAGGGCCCACGATCAATTTATTGATCATTTTGGCTCCTATGCATGTAGATGGGATTTGCAATGTTTCTGTTACTGGTGGTGATGAGGAAATTATGCACTAGGGGTTTGAAGGCTTGAGGCAATAGACACAAATTACAAAATAGACCAAGGATGTTTTGTTCCTTTAGACACGGTAACAGGAAAAAAATTTCTTTTATACTGGTATATAAATGTATTTTTTAAAAAATTAAACAGTACAAGAGAGTAGAAAATGGTTCATTTTGACAATTTTCTCTGAATAATAATAATATTATAATCTCTAGGACATTAATCAGTAGGCCTGACAGAGAAGCTAGCCTGAAATGATGCAATGGTTGCCGTCTGACGTTTGAAAGCCAAGAACGTCACGGGTTACTGTGGTCTTGTGTCAGACTGACAAACTGCCAGACAACGTGATGACGTGATGGGATCGAAACAAACAACGTAAACACTAGATAAACTGGTTAGGGGGGAGGGGGGCTTCTACTTCTTTAAAACCTTGGAAACATGTTGCTGGTTGAATGCTTTAGCTTATCATGGGCTCATTATGATAAAGTATTTTCAGAAAAGTCAATATATCTTATCCTGGCCTTTAAATATCGCCGACACAAGTGTGCTAAAGATTGTAACCAGTGGACTCGGTGGCATTCCCTTGATTTCAATTTTACAAAATGGAGAGCTGATGCAGAAATTTTCCCAGTTTTCTTAATCTCAAAACACCTCTGTCATAAATGTAAAAATAACATAAATTATATTTCAAAAAATTATATTTTAATAATAATCTGGCAACTCTGGAATAATTTTTTAGCTCTGGGGTAACTTTCCCTCCCTCGGCACGACACTTAATAATTTTGTGGAAAAGCGTGGTGTGGAAATAAGGAAATGCGAGAAGTGTGAAATAGTGACGTAATATTGAAACCACTAAACCACGTGTTTGTTTTGTCATGCCCTTTTTAAAGTCATGATGATTGGCTGCCCTATAAATAGTTGTTTTTTTTATATTCACACATCTAATCAGTGGCGTAGCGAGGGTGTTTGGCGCCCAGGGACAAGATTCGCGCCCGGGGACAAGATTCGCGCCCGGGGACAAGATCCATTTTTAGCGCCCCTTTTTCTTTTTATTCAACTCTCAAACCCATTATTTTCATCAATAAAATAATATCAAAGCACATTTTGGCGCCCCTAACTAGCTGGCGCCCGGGGACATCTGCCCCCCCTGCCCCCACCATGCTACGCCTCTGGTATCTTAGTAAAAGCTCAAGAGCAGGGATTCTTAATTTTTTTTTCAGCGTTGCAGGCCGACTCCCTTTTACAAATCCCTCCGTATAAATTACATTATAATAAAATTTAAAATAATTAAATAATTTAGTTATCGTAGTTTTATTTCTTTCATTAACTTTTTATAAACAGGGGAAACAATTACTAATGCACACAATGCGCCAATGAAATTCACCATTTACTGCTGCTAATCAAAATCCATTTAATGTTTTTTTGGTTTTTTTTAAAGCCGCAAAAACTAGCTTTTTATCACCCGGTCCGGTAAACTCGTAGTGTCTACCAACCCCCCCCCCCTCTTTTTTTTTTTTTACGATGTATCTCTTCTTTTTAAACTTCTTCCACATCGCCCACTGCTATCAAAGGATAGTTGTAGTTCTCAGAATTTAGATACAAATAACTTCCTGCCGCTTACTGACGCTTACAAAAATTGCCGAACACTTCATTCGGCTATGAAAAATGGTCAAATGGTGTGTTTCTAACCTAATAATAAGGTAACCTGTTTGCTGACGCATCAACCTTGAAATTTTAATATTAACGAAGTAAACAGGCATTTTGATTGGTTACATGGGTGGAAAATGTAAGAGTCATCTGTTATCCTTTTACGTATTTCGGTTAGACCGATCAGAGTGTGCTCTGTAATAACGCTATCTTTCAATTTGATGTCACCCCCTGAGTCTGTCACTGAATACAATTTTTTGGTTTCCCACACCTCAAGGCTGGGGAGGTACTTGTACCCCTGTTAAAGAACCACTGATCTAGTAAAATGTTTCGGACACGGGTGCAGTAATTTGATATCCATGGGAGGTGAATTTCTTTAGGGTTTGTAAAGGACAGTAGTGGACACAGGGGGGGGGGTGTCTAACTTTATGTGACGATTTGTGACGATGGGGGGGGGGGCGGGGGGGGGGGTAAAAACGTGATTGGTCAGCTCTAATTTGAGCACCCCTCCCCTTTTTAGCGCTTATATTGACTGATTTGCGCTAAGTAAAATGAGGGCGAGGCCTAGTGATTATATATAATAAGACGGACTCTTTTTGCGGTATTGCTGGTAGTGGGATCATTTTGTTCAAAATGGCAGGACGACCAAGAAGCAATAATTCAAATTGTTGATCCAACGGAACTTTTAAATGATGCAGCATTTGGTTTATATGCGCACTTTGTGAGGCAACAAATAACGTTAATACAACTGGTCAACAATGGAATTTGTCGCAAGGCGCTCCCTTTGAAGAACAAAATGGAATGTAACCATTTGCAATGTGGCTTGTAACTAGCTACGTATGTCAAGTATGAGAGTTCCCTACTATAACTCCGGTTATATTTGATAGTAAAGTTATAAATTAAATACAACAAGATACATCCAATTGGGCAACTTTTATAACATATCTTTAAAGACAGAAGAGTTATCCTTGATTTACCACAATGGCTCCATAAAAGACAAAAATCATTAAAAATTTACTTTTTTATCTAGTAAAATTTGTTAAAACGTTGTTGTATTTCAGCAAAAAGATGTCATTTAACTTTCAAAAATACTTTTTTTTAAAAAAATTACACAATTCTCCTCCCTTTAGTATTAGTGTTTTAATCTTTAGGCTTATAAGATGTATTGATTTCTGTCATTTAAATCAAAATTTAATATAATTAAGCCAACCTTTTATTAATGACTAATAAGGTTGAAATAATTTTTTCCCAAGTGCCAAGACTCAGGTTATACACAAATTACAAGTCTTAAATCATTTAAGGCTAAGGCACATTGGTGGTAAAATCTTTTTTTTTAAAAGCTTGCAAAACAACGATATAGATCTAACGTCATTACAAATAAGCAAGCAAATTTTACTGCTGCAATATACGCTTTTTTTGGTCCACGAATTTTCATATTTTACCGCCCCGGTTAACGCAGCCTTTAGTGTATTAGGTTTATCGCTGTGGTAAACGTAGTGCTGGCCTAAAACAAATCAACTTCCTGGCTGATTATAGTGATAATGGAGTTTGATGGAATTACAGAAAGATAAAAACAAAAAAGAAAAAAATAATTGGGCAGTGGATTTGTTGGATTCAGGTAAGTTTCACATATTAGCAATTACTTGACAATAATTCATGATTAAGTATGAACATTATTGAAATTACTGACCACTGAGTGAGTCCACTGTCGACTCTGAGAGTGAGTGTCACTCACAATGGGCATGGGAGTGTCTCAGTGTGAGTGCTACTCACCCACTCACCCTGACACTGACTGATGCCTGAACTGACATCATTTACTTTAAAACTGGCTTGTCACTGTCATAAATTAGTTATAAACTTGTAATTGGGTCATGCAACCAAGATGGCAGCCGTGTAAGAATCAAGATTACTAGGTTATAATTAAGCACTAAGTATGCATAGTGCCTAAATGTCGACTAAATGAAAGTCTCTCTACTGACCACCACTGAGCCACTGACTGAACTGACATTCATTTATTTTTCATACTGACTTGTCACATTGTCATAAATTAGTTATAAACTTATAGTTGGGTCATGCAACAAAGATGACGGGGCAATCCTCCGAAGTCCGGTCCCAAATTATTTCCAATGATTGCTCCTTACTTAAAAGTCTTAGGCATCATTCATGTTTGTGGTTTTGGACGATGTTGGATGGATGTTTTTGGCCATCGAGATGCACAAACACTCGAGCGCATTATCACTAATCATGTGTTGCCAGGGACAACTATCGTCCCGGGCGCTTGGTGAGGATATCAACATGTCGGTCAGCTCAACAACAGGATTTATGCTCACGCTGTCACTGTGCACGCGCGTGAATTTGTTGTCCCAGTAGACAGTAGACCAGGACATTCACAAATAAACTATTGAAGGACTTTGGATGCAACGTAAACTCAGCGTAAGGAGCGTAAACTCCGCGTAAACTCCGCTATTAGAGTGGTACTAGTCGCGGTCTTTTTGCCAGCTACTGGGGGCCTGTCAGTGGCGCAACAGCCACAAGCAGAACTTTTTTCGGCTTCTATTTGCAAATGCTATGCGCCAATTACAATATTTAGTATTTACCCAATGGTTTGTAAAGTGACAGTTATTTGTAAAAACTATGACTGACATTTCTGCTTTTTTTAACAATACGCACTGTGGATTGCAATTTTTTTCATATGAAATAATAAACCTAACCAGACCATAACCCTAAAACCCTCAAGTAAAAAGATGTGTGTTGCTGCAGTTACACATTGGTAAGAAAACTGTAAAAATCAGGAAAAACAATAAAAAACAATTGTAAAATAATGAAAATACAACTTACAGTTACAGCTTCATAGAAGCTTTTTCACACTTTGAAAAACTTTATTTCAGGTTCCACCAAGAAAAACAAAAAAATCCAAAAGTTTTAGAAAATCAATAAAATACAATAATTTAACCCATTTTCCAAAATGCCAGAAAATTTAAATATTATAACCAACTGTAACGGACTATGTTGTCACAAGAAAACAGAGAGGTAGCATGAGTGAACAGTGAATTGTGTTGACCATATTTTTCCATGAGGAGAGTGTATTTGTATTTTTGAGAAGCAAATGTGAGCTCCACGTTTTTGGAGAGTAAATTATGTTTTTGTCAAAGCGGTCGTTTCCACGCTTTGCTGGTAATAAAAGGGGCAGTTGATTAAGAGAGCAGGAGAGTCAGAGTTAGAAGAGTTGAGTTAGAGTTGAGATATAGTACAGTTGAGCTGAGTTATAGCAGTGTGAGGACATGTCTTTCTGAGTGATGGAATATTATATATATATATGTGAAATGATTACATTCATGCAAGTATTATTATTTATATTATCAGTGTAAACTGTGATTCAATAAAGTACTGTAAGTTTAACCAGGATTCAGTATTCTTATTTGCGTGCCTGGATAATAAGTGGAAGAATGAAGAAGTCTTAGCCGGCATCCTGAATTATTAACATAAAACAAGTGACCATGCTACTGACATAACCCACTAAGTTATAATGATGTCAGAACATGAGTTACACCAACCAATGAAATTTTAAAATTATAAATAAACAATCAAAGAAATTTTAAATTTATAATTAACCAACCAATACAATTTTAATTTAAAATTAAAACAACACTCCATCATCGTATTAAGGAAAAGTTAACTCAAGTAACAACAAGAAGATCAACAAAAGTGAGAGAATCCTACACAGAACCAAGCCATGGCGCTGATTGCATAAATTGACCTTCAATTGTCAACTTATATATAATGATAAGTCATTGAGTGTCGACCGAGTGCCACTGATATAATTCATTCTCATACTGAATTGTGACTGTCATAAATTAGTCATTAATATTAATTATATTAATATATTATAATGACATAAATGTATGATTGAGTTTTGAGTCTTATTACTAATTACAGATTGAGTCTACACTTCTAGGACATGTCTCGCGTAGTCTGCTCTAGTTGAAAAAAGACTACTGAGATATCTGATCATCAAAATAAATTTATGATAGGCACTTTGATATCGCTCGACAAACTGAGAGTCTAGTTGTTAAGGATTTTTTGCTAATTATTGCCCAGCAAGCACATTCTGTTTCTGCCCATATCTTAGACATATTGTTTTATCCTTAGACACTTTTGTTTTTAAAAATAATTTGAGGTTTTAACTTTGAAAATTGAAGGTATAATAATGCTTACTAAAATCAATCATATTTTTGTGTGGAAAAGGTGTCTTTCTTAAATGAAAAGTCGTCCATAGATAGCTGCATGAATTACAACATATCAAAAATTCATCAAGTTAGGACCCAGATCATTGATGAAAAAGCGCATAACAAATTTTTGTCACAGGTGTGGCAAAATGACCTATTATCGATAAATGAATTTTTTTCTAGTAAGTAACTTGATTTAAACTGGAAATCCGGCTTATTACCCCTTAATAACTCAATTACAAACAAATATTTTATAACATAAATACATGCTTTTAACATGATTTGATGCTTTTATTGAAGGGTATTGACATGGGGAGTGGGTTAAATAGCCCTTATTAGCCTCATTATTATTAAAATTAATATATTAAATAAAATAGTTATATATATATCATATTCATATATCACATATATATAAAAGTGAAAGTTTGTGGTGGTGTTTGTGTGTGGGTTTGTTCCACAAAGGCTTTTACATGGGTTGATGGATCTTGACCAAACTTGGCAAATATATCCATCATGATCCAGAAGGAATTCTTAAGGGGTTATGAAGTTTTTATAGCATTCCGTTTGGGGCTGGGGGCCCAAAATGTTGTTTTTTCCTATATGAGCTCTATAAAAATAATTAGAAACAAATACTCCTACATGAATGGATGGATCTTGACCAAACTTAGAACACATACTCTTTATTAACGATGCTAAAAAATCAAAGGTTACTGATCTCATAGGGCGGGGGGCCCCGTTTAATTTTTTCGTATATAAGCCATATAAATATCAGTAGGCTTAGACAAAACTATAGTTTTTATGTGAATTTATGGATATAGGCCTAGATTTGTAGCAATATCCTTCATTGTCTGTATTGAATTATCAGTGGATTTAAAACAAATAATATCCATTCTAGAATTTTCCAGAAAATTTCATTATTTAAAAAAGCTATATCTATGGCATTTTTTAGTAGATTTTAATGGGACCAATTTTAAAATTTAACTCTATTATTTATCCGTCTGATATTTGTAGGGCCCCCTATCGTAGGCATAACTAAATCGGTACATTTGTGGAATAAGCCCCCGGGGCCCCTTGATTAACTTAAAAGAAAAAGGATTATAATTATGGCATTTGTTGAAGATTTTTACCGCATTCAAAAAATAATTAGAAAAGTAGTTTTTAAACATGTTTCGAGCAGGTTATTAAATTAAATCTAGAATGTTCCAGAAAGTTCTTAATTGTTCCAAGGGGATATATATTGGGATCTAAGGGATAATGAAATTTTAGTTAGTTCTATTCATTTCTATACTGTCCCAAAGTTTACTGTTATGTCAGTAACTGAGTAATTTTTTTGTTACACGTGATCCCAAAGGGGTCGGGATCCCATCATAATCTTTATCCCAAAGGGATCAGGATCCCACCACCATAAATCATAAAACGGGATCCCACCTGGATCGGGATCCTAACCTTGAATGGATCCACCGGGAAACAGGACTGCCCCGGGATTGATATCAGAATGGGATTGGGGTCCCAATGGGATCGGGGGTCACTCAAGGATTGGGTCCTAATGCAATCCTGGGCCATGCAGGGTATATCCGCTAGTATATAATATATATATATATATTATATATATGTCATCCTTCCGTCTTCGCGAGATGATGGAGTAGCTATGTACTCTTCAACCAAGGGCTTACTAGGCCAATCCTGGAATGGCAATCTCGGCTGCATTTTCTGTAGTAGACTATTGACTCCTGGTTAGATTTGAACTTTCGTTTTGTTCTTTTTGTTGCAAGGGCTTTGTTTCGCGCATCTTCTTCCTTTTTTGCACCTTCATTCACAGCTGTTCGTCAGCTGGAACGTTTTCAGCAATGATCTCCCACACGCAAGCAAGTGGTCATAATTAGATCTGGGACAAGTTACTGTAAACAGTTAGTGGAGACCGTAACCTTGACCAAAGCAGCGACCACCAGATGTCAGGTTGAAACCTTGACCAAATTTATGAACACTCCTGAACCAATCTCATGCAAGTTGTTATGTTTTGAGGAGGAGAGGAGGTCACAGTTTTTGGCTGTTCCTGAATTGAACTCAGATATTTGTGAAAATTGCAAAGAAGATGTTAAAGACTGCCTGAAGGGCACAGATTGTGAAGTATTTCCGCCCAGAGACGATGGAAATATCAACTTCACAATAAATGATTTGTCTGAAAATAATATTTCTGATAATGTAAAATATGTTTTTCTTTCCAACTATAATGATTGCAACAAAGGAGAAATGACATCAGATCAAAGGAAGGCAAAACTGTCTTTATGTAGACAAGACGTGTTTGATGACTACGTGACTACTGGGCCATGTAGGTCAGACATGAGAAGAGAGAGTGGGTTTAATAACCTTTTAAAACAAGGGGATCCACGAAACATTCCACCGTCTTATATTACATGTAAACATCGACAGGGCTATTTATGGCTGTCCACAATAGCTCAGACATTGACAATTTTTTTTTCATTCTTTTTTTCACTTCCGCATTATTAAAGATTTTTCAAATTCAGTTTTGTAAAGATTCTAATGTGGGTGACAATGTATTGAATTGAATGCTCCATTTAATTTTAGGTTAACATTGAGTTGATAGAGGCAGTAACTAATTTACCTCTTACTTTGTACGTTTCATTAGAGGTGTCATCATTCTATAATGTATAGCCATGAAAATACAGTAGTGTTGACCTGAAATTTATGAATGTGATATAGTGTTATAATTGAGACATTTCATAATACTTTTTTTCCCAATAATATCAATATGGTTTTAAAGCTCTTATTGGAATGTCAGGTTGACCATAACATACACACAAAATGACTGTTTTTTTTAAAACTCGCAACATTGGGTTTCACTTAACGTCACTCGTGAGGGGGGTCGTGTCATGGCCATATCGCGTGATTATGTTATGTGTTTGTTTTGCTAATATTGTCATTTAGCGATGATTTTGTCCTTTTGGAACTTCCTATATATTTCGCACCACTTTGACTCCGTCATAAATGCGCTATGATGCATTTCCGGTGGTGCGATATATTGGTTATGAGGAATAAGATTGATATGGAGATCAAGATGCTTTTGTTTTAAAATAATGAGTGAGTGGTTTGTTGAGCTGGGTGCAGGAATATCCATTCTTTCAAATGTGAACACTATTGTTACTAGTTACTTTATTGTGCGCTGTGTCTTAACACATCATATAAATGATTAAAGGATACCTTTTTTATCAAACCATCTCGTCAAGTTATTTGAAGCGAGAAAGAAAACAGAGTTTAGACTCTGATCTGATATTGTTTTCTGTGGCCGTTGGGAGAGGGACCTACCCCTAGACGACATATCGCCACACAAGTATTATAAAATTTATCAAAGGGATAAAATTTTCGTATAAATGGTGTAAAATAGCATAGTAAAAGGTCATATTATTTTTCATATAAGCCCGGGCTAGGACTTAGGGTAAACCTTGTGTTGTTTCTTTTATTCCCAAAGTACACATTGCGCTGGAAGTTGAAGTCAATTGATCGTGACTATCATTGTCTATTTGCTTTATGTCAATCCTTTTTCAAAACAAAATAATATTAATTATCCTTTCAATCATTTCCATCATGCCTGCACAACTCAAAATGTAAGGCAGGCCTTAATACTATATGAAGAACTTGAGCTGGCCAAAAGATAATAGGATGGGGGGGAAAACTATTAAGAGAATAATAATAATGAAGCATATTTTGTTACTTCTCGGTCTGCAAAGTGGGTTCAGGTTGATTTACATTATCATAAACTTGCTCTGGTTTGAGTCCTTTAGAATAGCAATTTTTGTATTTTCTTCATCCCTATTCATAAAAAAAAAATTACTAAAACACAAAATAATGCACCCTTGAGCACGGCCATTACTGAGTGACCTTTCGCAAGTCACATGATAAACCCTGATTTGAGTATTTATAACACATTTCATATCTCGGGTTGATCTAGGGTAAAGTATGGCAGACCGAAATATGGATCTAGCAGGGTGTGGAATTTCAATGCTGACACTGGTTCAAAGAGTTAATGAATATTATCATATAAATTAAGTAAGACATGTAATGTAAAAAATATTCATTTAAATTTGATATTGAAATATCCTATATTTAATTACATATCACAATAATATTCCAAAAGAGAATTATTATATTATCCTCAGTATTTTCAAAGAAAAATACACTTGCTGTCACAATAATCCAAGAACTACTTAAAATATTTCTAAAGAACAATCATAAAAACTTGTACACACCTCAAGCAAATGACTAGAACCTATTTTAAATTCTATCAACCTCCAAAGCTAATTCTAACAATACATGTTGATTTGTGAAACAAGATTACTAGCTTAAAATAAATGACATACTAATTTTTTTTGTCATATTCAAATGGGACTAATATATTATATTTATATATATATATATATATATATATATATATACATATACATAAAAGGTAAAATAAAAAGTATAATTATCAATTTTAACTAAATGAATGAAATAATCCGTGTATTATTTGTTTATTCTTAAAAATGTTAAAAAATTCCACAGAAATTTGTAATTAATATCTAAAGAATGTTGTTATTATTGTTGGGAAATGTAAAAAGCTTTTAAAAAGATAATAACCAAATACAAATAAGTGAAGAGCCTGCATATTTTATATAAAATATTTTAATAAGTAAAATTTAAATTGAAAAAAAAAATTATGTGTGGAAAATTAAATAAACAACTTATATTTTGTGGCTTTATTTAGTAGAATTCATATTTAACTATGTTTCCTGTAAATATTATATTTTGGTCTCATTTTATTATAAAGTTATGGGCGTAATAATAAAGCAAAATAAGGGTCATGAAAAGTGGAGGAAAAAGGCATAGTGAAAAAGTGGTTTTGTGGTCCTTCCTAAAAAAAAAATTCATACCATTTGAGCTCGATCTTGTGGCACAGGGCTGAGCTAGAAAGTTGATCTTGGGGTTTTTGTTATCCATTTTCTATGCTCTATAGAGCTGTGTTATTTTTATATTTTTCAAAATGTTTTGAAATTTTCATCACAGTGCCTAATGAACAAATCATAAAACTTTTGTATTATGCTTTTGCAATTTAATATAGTTGGACGTCCAAGAAGGGTTCAAGGGAAAAACCAGTGATGTCAGCTTTTTTTCGAAATTTGCAAGTTATCTCCGGTGTGGCTAAATTCAATTCAATAGAATAATATGACACATAAGCCCAACTGAAAAAGCAGCATAGTCAATAAATAAATATTTAGACATTTTGACACTTTCATGAGGAATTTTTAAACTTTATTATCAATTTTTTTCAAAACCTGGCATCACTGGTTTTTCCCTTGAACCCTCAAATAGAAATTACTACACTTAGTACTTAACACAGACTCCATCAGAGCGTGCTAAGACAAACTGTTTCACAAAATTGTCAATGTGGAGAAAATAACCCAAATTTTGCCAAATGAACTCTAATATTACTTAACAAAAGCACAAATAACATAGCCTACTATTTATGAAGTTATTTATATTAGCTAATTAGGCTTAGGAACTATCTACGCCGTGTCTTATTTATTGTGATTTTACATGTTTGAGACAGGGTTGATGTTTGCCAGTAATGTGGTTTGTCATGGAACAGGCTCAAGAAAAATATAGACTCTCTGATAGATTGATCCGTGCAATCAGCAACTGGAAGCTGAGCGATTTTGATGATGATGTTCATGCACTTATTGAATCAGGTTGGAGTTTGTTGCTTTAATTAATGATGATTATTTACCTTTCTGTTCTTGGGCTTTTACAATTTAAAAAAAAATCTTCTAAAATTAATAAAATATAAAAAAAACTATTTTCAAAACCTGTCAAAATCAACATTCTTTTATCTGTTAAATTTTGATAACCACAATTTGCTTTAAAAAAAACGGTCAATCTACTTTCTCAGCGCCATACTGAGTTTCTGTGGAGGATTCTCTCCCCTTTGTTTAGTCGCAGATTGTTTCTAGAGTTAACTTTTATCTTTTTTTATATTAATACGTTGATGTAATGTTTTGCATTGATGTTTTTTTTTTAAAGTTACAGGTATATTTTATATGGTGGTTAATTATAATATTTAAAAATGAGGCTATTTTGTCTGTGTCATCGTCTGATCATTTTGAAAAAAGGATTTTGACTTTTATGGATATTTTGTATTTAAAGTGTATTCGATAAAACTGTAAGTTGGGAGATCATTATTTTGAATACATGGTTTTAGGGTTCATGTTAGGTCAAAGGTTTTGGGTTTGAACATTTTTCGCTCAAGTTTGTGGGGGGACTAATATTAAGGGTGAATTTATCTTTTGCTTGGATACTAACTTAGCATTCAGGTTAGGTAAAGTTGTAGATTTTAGGGTTGTAGATTTTAGGTTTGAAGTTTTTTCTAAACATTTTATTAAATTAAATTTGCAACCTTTTTTGGTTGATTTGTAAGGTTTTTTAAAATAGAAATTTGAGGAATTTTTCACCTTTTCCAGTTATTTATTAATTTTTAATAATATTATTTTTATGCTATGCATGTTTAAAAAAATTCTTTATTTCAAGGTTTTTCTTAAAAAATAACCTATTTTCATAAATTCCTTATTTTCATTTCTCTTGCTAAAACAACACATTCTCTCCCTTTCCCCTCCCCATGTTTTGCAATATCTTTTTTTAACATAATGCCAACAAAGATGGCAACTCTGTGGAAAAAAAAAGAAGTGCAAAAACATGGAGAAATTAACGGTACAGAGAACTTAAATTTACCCCCCAAAAAAAACAACAACCTCCCATGAAGTGTGCTGTTGTTGCAGTTAATGGCCATAAATCATAAGCTGCCAGTGACCAGAATGTGATCTGCAAATTTGTTAATTGATATTTATTGCAGAATACACAACTGTAAAAACACATCATTGTCAAATTTTCTTCTTAGCCACATTTATCAATTTTTGGAAATGATGTCCCCCCCTCATCCCAAGATAAAAGAAGATACAAATATTTCCCTCCCCTCTGGTTCATGGAATCATGCAAAGCATTAGCAAGTAGCCTAACCAATTATACTGTATGCAATTTATAAGTGTCTTTTATTTGTTAAAAAGCTAAAAATTCAAAGTATAAATACCGGTAGTCTCTTTTAAAAAGTGACAATAGTAATTAGATCTTTTAGTAAAAATAAACAACCTAAAACCCGAAGTCTATTCACAGTTTAACATTGTTAATTTTAACTCAAGATATCATGAGTAATGTATCTGATTGATAAGTAAACACTTAGTAGAAAATGATCTGCTGACTAGAAAATCGATGAGGTTCCACATAAATGTCATTTCTTGGTCATGGAGCTCTCATCTTGAAACTTACTTATTAGTGAAGGTTTAGAAGTTCCAAGAATTAATTGAAAAAAAACAACAGCCTTGCACTGTTATATTAATAATTAATTTTATTTATTAAGTATTTTTAGCTGTTTTCCATATTCTGATAGTTTATTTTGGCCTCCGTTAATTTTATTTTGGTATCTCAACGGAATTATTTTTATTCAGGAGCAGATGTAAATCGTAGACATGGTACTTTGTTGCCCCTACACTGTGCCTGCATGGTGGGCGATGCAGAAATCTTGAGATTGCTGTTATTAAAAGGGGCAAGGGTAAGTATTAAAATGAATTTTAATAATTAAATCTTTTACAGAAATTTTTAATGTGTTCACATAGTTGGATTTTGTTACAAATTAAATTTTTAAAATATATTTCTTCCTTTTTTTTTTTTTTTTTTTTTTTTAGGTCAACGAGGTTGATGGTTATGAAAGAACAGCTTTACATTACGCATCAGAAAGAGATGAAATATGTGTTAGGATATTGCTGCAGGTGCTTCATTTAAACTAAACAATAAAATAATGAATTAATGAATGATGTTGACATTTAAATTCTCAATTTTCCATGGCCAGTATCATTGCGTTTTTAAACAACCATTATTTCCACCATATAGAATTATAGCTTCAACTGAACATAGATTTGCTTGTAACTCTTGCAGCATGGAGCAGAAATCAACAAAGGAGATGGAAATAAAGACACAGCTCTTCACTGGGCATCATATAAAAATAATGTTGGATGTGCCCAGCTACTGTTGCAAAGAGGGGCAGATGTGAATGCTGTTGATTACAACAACGACACTCCAATAAGTTGGGCAGCAAGGAAAGGTAAATACTTCTCATTGTTTTTAATTTGAATTATATCCCTTGATTGGGAGTGGTTTAAAAAGGGAAAAATTCATCTTACACTTTGCATCATTCCATATGACCTGAGCAATTATAAAATACTGATTCTCTCCCCTTATCTATTCACACATAAATAATAATGACTTTGCTTCCTCCTGGTACTTGTAGTTAATATACACCAGGGTTACTCAATCTTTTTAATCAGGGGTTCGGTTTACCATCCCTCAAAACCTCTTGTGAACTGGACTATAGTTGTTTAAAAAAATTAAAGAATGCCTATGCACACTGCACATATCTTATTTGAAGAACAGAAAATAAAAATAAAGAACTAAACGTAATTTGAAAGCTATAGTATTAGTATTCCAGTGGGAAGCATGTGTCAGCGTTTTGCTAAATTGATGACCTGGTTTCCGTATTTGCCACTCTTACTCAGGTACCCATACAGTGGCCAAACAAGCCAGGTTAAGGACCCCTGCTGGGTCTGATCTGGCCCATGAGCCATTGTTTTGTGTACCTCTATATATTTATGTTAAAAATATGAAATAGTTTTTTTACTGTGTTATTTTTGTAAAATTGTTTAAGTTTTTTGGAAGTACATCAGCAAAAGTTAAGACGGTGAGTTTTAAATATTATGATCAACCCTTTTGCAGGTCACCATGATGGAATAAAATTTGTAGTAAATTTTTATTATTAGTAAATTATAGTATTACAGTAAAATGTGAAAAAATATCTAATAAAAGATGTGTTGAGTGTAAGTTATGTTCATATATTTGTCTTCTGAAAAAGAAATTTAGTTAATGACATGACTTAACCAAAAATTTCATTTTGCCCCTGGTAAGTTAAGCACACCGTTTGACAGAAATTCCTTGCAAGGTAAATATGAAAGTATGTTAAATAAAAATATGTACATGGCACTGTGGTAAATGTGCTATTACTTTTTTGAACTTTGACGGTCATGTTTGTTGTGGCTTGAAATTCCTTTTATACTAAAAACCTTCAAATATATGTCATATATATTGGCAGGGAATTTGAAGGTGATAAGAATACTACTGGACTACAACGCTGATGTTGACATACGAAATGCCAGTGGCAATACAGCTCTGCAAAGGTCTGCTGCTATTCAGGTCAGCAGTTTAAGAGGTTTTTCAGAATCAATCAATTCTTGGTTTACTATAACATTGATTAACAAACAAAAAACATGCATTCTAGACCAGTCAATGGGACCTAATTGGTATATATTATTATATTTTTAATTATCATAAAAAAATTAAAGGATTCAAACAGATGTATTTGTTGTAAATTTATAATATATATTATTTTATTTATTTAATTTGACAAAATTATTTCTTTATCAAGGCAAGTGGACTGAACAATGATCAAGATGATGCAACTTTAGAACTTCTGATCAAAGCATCGGGTCAGTTTGACCTCCTTAATGATGAGGGCAAACCTGTTCCTGTTATAGCCAGTGATAACCGGCTTAGTGAGATTTTGCGACCTTTCTGTCAGACCGCCAGGTCACTGCTGGAGCTCTGCCGGCGACAGATCAGAAAATCAATGGGAAAAACTTTTCTACCAAAAGTGATACCCCGACTTCCTGTACCGTCAAGGTTACAAGAGTTTCTCCTGTTGCATGACAATAAAGAAATTCTTTGTGACCTGGATGACATGTCGATAATACAACTTGGACAAAATTTGTGACCCCGGCTGTCTTATAGTCACTTTAATTTATTCATTTATCAACCAAGAACACTTCATCGCATCTTATCTGTGTACTATAGTGGAAAAACAATGAATAAGGGCCATCTCACAGTTAAGCCTGTAAACACTGTTGCTGGGAGTGGCTTAATCTTAGTCTCTGACATTCTCTAAGGGATCAGTAAAATACACAGGTGCTTTATATGGATCTTATTGTCTTCGTAAACTAATTTTTTACATGCTTAATTTTTCTGTAATGTGCCATGTTTATTTTCATGATGGAAACCTGCTTGAAATCATGGGGTAGCTAGCATGCAATACATGGGGTAGCTAACATGCAATACATGGGGTAGCTAACATGCAATACATGGGGTAGCTAACATGCAATACATGGGGTAGCTAACATGCAATACATGGGGTAGCTAACATGCAATACATGGGGTAGCTAACATGCAATAAACCAGGTGTTTTCTGGAGTTTTTTGACACGGAAGGGGGTCTGTGGGTTGTTAGCTGATTAAAAATGCAGTAAACCAGGTGTTTTCTGGAAACTTTTGAGCACAGGGTCTGTAGCTGGGAGACCTCAAAGCTTTGTTGGGGAAGTTAACTAACACATAGAAAAACCTAGTTGTGTCGTAGGGCTGTGGACAATGTCAAGAAATATCTAATTGTTTTGTAGATAATATACATATAAATGGATTTTTAATAATATTACTGTCAATACATTGTAAGATTATTCCTCAGCCATGATGTAGAAAAAATTGTTGAAGTATTATGTTCAAATACATGGTTCCCTAAGAGTTTTATGTTTTGCTAACAAGTAAAATAACAATGTATATAAATTTTCAATTTCATTGTTAGCCCAAAATGAAATTTGAAGAAAGTCATTTAGCATTGTCCCTTTACTTACTTACACCACCAGAGAGAGATTAAATGGAAAATAATTTTATTCAGCTTTTTTTCGTCACCATATCTCCATATGGTATTAATCAAATACTCACCTCTTGTTTCTCATTTCCCCTTTGTTTCTTCTTTTTTCTTATTCCTAAGATTTTATGTATCCCTAAATATTTTGGGCCGTTAAGATTCTGGACCTTATGATTCTGGACCTTATGATTCTGGACCTTATGATTCTGGACCTTATGATTCTGGACCTTATGATTCTGGACCTTATTTTGCACAGTACCAATAGTTATATTTGTAATTTGTAATTCTCCTTCCACTTCCCACAACTAAAGAGGTCTCTTAGGAGTTTTTTTTTATTGTGCTCTGTTTCTTGTCACATTTTCATTTCTACTGTTCGCTGAAGAAGTCTCTAAGCTTATCACCGTCTTTTGATTCAAGCTTCAACATACATTGCTCTACTATTTCTTTCACATAATTTGAATGCAGTCCTTCAATTATTATCCCTTTACTTAATGTTTGATGTATATTATTTAGTAAAATTCTAACTATGCCATTTGTATTTCTATCAGAAGTTTGTTATTTTATTTTATAATGTCATTGATGTCAGTTATTGGGGACCACTAGATATTGTCAAGTTTTAATGTAAATTATTTATTACACTTACACATATAGTAAAAATACACTGATAAGATTTATCCATAAATGTTTTTGTTAATGAAAATTAATTAAAATACTTTAAAAAATTAAAAATTGTGAATGTAGTTTAAAAAGGATTTAAACATTTGGGATTAGACCTATTGGTATACAAAGCACAATAGTAGTTGCTTCTAAAGGTTCAGTGTGTGACAAGTGTTGTATCCTGCTGAAGAAACTTAAAAAAGACCCCAAAAACCAAGACCCGATGGAGTAAGATACTGATGGATTTTCTCAACTCATTGTTGTCTTTATAACTGATCCGATCAAGAATTTATTTCCAGTGGGTTGTTGAAATAATATTTAATCAAGAGGTGCTTGGGTGTGGAATATTCTCAAACCTGCTAATGTTATATATGCCAGCACTTGTGCCATAAATATTTATGAATTATTCTAATTGTATGTATTTGTTTATTTTAAATATATTTTTTGTCTGACCATATTAAAAGGTTAAATTTCTTTTTATCACCACCCCCTGTCGCTCTTTTAAGTGAAAGAGATATTAAAAAAAAATAAGTCTCCATGCTGTTGTTAGGGACATTGAATTTCAGTTTAGCTGCCGCCTATTTGTAAGAAATTGCAATAAATGATGAACAAAAACAGTGGTAAACTTTAAAAGATAGTTGTACCCCTTTAAAAAACAAAATAACAACAAAAATATATTTCCTTTCTTAGAGACTCTAAGTCCCCTCATAATCTTCAAATTTCCCCACCTGTGGGAAACACTGGTCTAAGTTGTAAGGCATTTAAGAGTGAAAATATATTGTAATTTTTATCTTCTTCATCATAAGTGAAGCATTACCTAATTAAGCTATAAATATAGAAAATAGTGGCTGTTTCACTTAGATTATAATTATAATAAAATTATAATGGATTTCTTAAAACTGTTGAATTAAAATAATAAAAAAATTTATTTTGCATTTGGAAATATTTAGAGTAAAAAAAAATTTTATTCATGGAAAATACAAACAAAAAACACTTTGAAAGAATATTCTCTTTATTCACTTTATGACAAACTCATGAAAAACTTGAAGGCACAAACTTGAGGACACAGACAATAAGATTCAGTACCGTTAATAGAAATACATTGAAAGACCTCTATTTGTGAATATTACACACCCTCTCCCTCAAACTAACCCCCCCCCCACCACAAAACGCCAACAGGCATCCCTCACCATACAAACATAGAACACACTCAAACCCATCAACACATGATATCCCTCCACCCACACCAATCATAACCCATGACACACACCATAACCCATGACACACACCATAACCCATGACACACACCATAACCCATGACACACTTCACTCACAAACTGTTACATAAAATAGTTACAGGAAAATACTCTGATATTTAATTAAATTATGTGTCAAAACAATGCTAATAAGAACTGTGAAGTCTTGACTGTCTTGAGTCACCAATGGATGGCCCTGATAGAGTGAATATCCCCAGATCATTGAAATAAAAAAAATTATGGCAAAGTTAAACTACCTTGCTCACACAACACTTAAGTTTTATCAGGAGTTTATGACATATGGCCTATTTGGGTCTTCACGTTATAACCCAAAAACTGTTTTGTGCAGGACGGTGCAGTTGAACACTATTTTTGAAGTTTGAGCAGGGTTACTTAAGACAGACATAATTTTATAGGACTTAAGTGGATAGGTTTGGGTCAAGATTATAATCTAAAAAACAACATGCACACTGCTATTTTACTATACTGTTATAAATTATTTTAAAATAACATATAGCAATTATGGAGTAGGGGTGGGGCAGTACATTGTTCAATTTCTTCCAGTGTTTTCTGATCTAGTCTGTGTGTCCAAATTAGGCAGCAACTATTTGTTCAATTGATCCGTACCTATGATAAATAAGTGTGGAATGTTAAAAAACTAAATTCAGATATGTGAAAAATGCATTTTGTATTTTGAATTTATCAAAAATTTTCTGGGGACTATAATGATTGAAGGGCGAGAATAATCTAGGGCAAAATCATACCCTCAAGGGCAGTGGCGTAGCGAGGGTGGTGCGGGGGGGGGGTACCAACCGCACCGGGTGACACCATTTTAGGGTTTTACCTGCTACCTTTCTGAGTTGTGTTTTGGACAGTGCTCTGAAAGTTGATTTTGGACTGTCGCTAGTAATTATTTTGTTTCTTGTCTTGAACATGACAAAATTAAAGCATTTTTATTGTTCCAAACTATTATATCATGCCACATGGCGTGCACAAATCTAAACGGCCAAGTTGCAGTCAGCAGGGAAAAGGAACAAAAAAACAAAACAAAAAAACTACGGTGACTCACTATCATCACTCCCCGAATACGTCCTTCGATATCAAGAAACCAAATTATGACCAGGGTCAAGGTTCAGCAAAAGACTTTCTTCAACCTACCATTGATACTGATTCTCCCGATACCAGCAGCATGCATTCTTTTCAGCAAATAGTGGAGAAAATGGAAGATATTGACATCAAAACACAAGTAAAAGACATGGATGGTTTGGAAACTGAAATGTCTGCTGATAATGTTGATTCAAACCAAGATACTGTAGGTGTATTGGTTAATGACAAAATCTGGCATATTTTATCAGATGCTTCTCTCTGGAATGTACCACTTCTAGATCATTTTCGGTATGAACTTATTAAAATATGGAGCACCTCGTTTAAGAAAGAAGACGGACTATTCAGCGTAGTGGCAAGGCAACATACGAAATCTAAATTATTCATCCGTCAGTCAGAAGTTTTATTGTTTTTGCTGCAGATTGTTTGCTGTTAATGTTACAGAAGCAACAACCAAATTTGTTACTGGCGTTGATAAGTGGTTGAAACTGAGCCCAAAATTACAAAATCATGAAGCATTGGAAGAGCGCCTATGTTGTCTTGAAAAGTGGAAAGCATTAGCAGCAGGACTTGGGATACACAAAACAATTGATGCCGAAAATATTGTTGTGATGACGGTGAGATGAAAAAGTGTAGAGATCTCCCGACAGGTTGCTGGATGTCACATTGTTTCTTGCAAAGCAAAATCTGGCATTTCGTGGCCACAACGAAGATGAATCTTCACTGAAACTTTCTTGAAATAGTTGAGATGCTATCTAATTATGACCCAGTGCTAAAAGAGCACCACATGACACAAAGAGGAGAACATCTACAGAAAAAGCATCTGACCTTTCACCAGAAACCAAAAATGAATTTATAAATGTCCTTGCAAATCATGTGAAGGAGATTCTATAATGGATATAAAAGCTGTGAGATATTTTCAAATTATGTTCAAAAGTACACCTGATATATCACACAGTGACCAGATGTCTAAAGTGATCAGATATGGGAAAATCCACAATGGGAAAGTTACAGTGAGAGAAGTGTTTCTTACATTTTTCTCGTTAAGAAGAAAAAGGCTAATGACCTGAGTTCTAACATTCTTGGAAATCTAGAACGGGATGGACTAGACATAAAGATGTTCAGAGCTCAAGGCTATGATATTGCTGCCAAAATGTTTTGAATCCATGGAGGTGTTCAGCCCACTCTGAAAAGAAATAATACAAAAGCGATTTTTAATGGATATGTGTACCATTCGTTTAAATTGTGGACCCTTTTGCCGAGAATGCTTCATGTTTTACACTCTTATGTACCCTTCAACGAATATTTTCCTTCTTTGCTACATCCACTCATTGATGTAATTTTCTAATTTAACACACTGGAATGTCGTGGAAAAGACTGTCAACAACGCGTTGGAATGATCATCATTTTGATATTAAAACAGTGAAAGATGAGTTTGATGAATGTGTGGCGGTGATTCAAGCTCAGGGTAATCCTCTTGAAAATTTGGATACTAGAGATACAGCACAAGGTCTTTTACATGATGTCTGTGATGATGCAAGAAGTGCATCACAAGGTCTTTTACATGCTGTCTGTGATTTCACGTTTATCTGCTAACTTTACCTTTGGGGTGATCTACTTGAGGAAGTTAATCTTACACAGACTAAAGGCTTTACTCTTGAAAAAAGTGGTGACAAACCTAGAGGCCTTAAGATTGTTTCTGCACGAGAAGCTCTGTCACTTGGGGGAACATGCTACTGAAAAGTCACTTTTAACATCAGACCAAATATTGAATTTCGGTAGAGAGAAGATTAAGGTTTAATGAAGAGTATGGCAGGAGAACAATTAACAGATGCTGGACTCTATCTGCGAGAATAAAACTGTATGGAGATGCTGGAGTGTATTTATCGCTTTCATTCTGAACTCCAGATCATATCATCAGCGATCAAGGAAGAGGCAGATATGCTTGGGGCTGTTCAACCCAAGAGTTAAGAATCAGCAAGTGAAGAAGAGTAATTGGTGTCCGTTCCAAAATTAACTTCTTTTTATGATGAATTATCAGAAGATGAACTTTTAAAAGACATACCAAGGCTTAGAAGACATCTAAAGGCAGCTTAAATTGAATTTCACAAAGTCATGGACTGGTCAGTATTTCATGTTTTGAAATTCATAGCTAAATGGGACTTCCTAGAATTTCTTCCAATACTCTCGATAGGCCCTGTGACGGAGCTTTTCAAAACTGAGGCTTATCAAGAAATATTTATGCTCCATCATGGGACAGTCAAGGCTTCCTGATGTGTTTCTTCTATCAACTGAAAGTGATAGGGTAAAGGACATAGATTTTGATCACATGATTGACAGGTTTGCAACTTTGAGGGCAAGGAAAGGAAAATGTTAAATAAAGTATATTTTATGTAAAAATAACTATAACTTAACGTTGTTACAGCTTTTAAATACATTGACCTTATGACCTTCGATTTATGTGCTTTTGTTCTTGTCATGGCATTGTTATACTGTGGACTTAATTTGACAAGCAGAAATGCATCATGAACATTTTTTATTTTTTATTTATTTTTTGGGTTTTACCGCACCGGGTGACACCAACTCTAGGCTACGCCACTGAACACAGGCCAATATACATCTAGGAGATAATAGCTAGCTGGAAAAGATGATAGACAACCTCATCCCAGCAGGTGTTTTCGAAATAGATGAGTTTTCAATTCGGTTTTGAAAGACTCCAGTGTCTGGCTGTTTTATAGAGCGACAGGAAGTGTGTTCCGAATTGTTGGGCCACCAAATGCGAAAGTGCGCCTTCCGTAAGTCTCAAGGCAAACACGTGGTATCGAGAGTTTGCCACTATCGGATGAGTGGAGTTGTCTAGTGGGTACATAAGGCGTCATGAGCGCTTTGAGATAAGGCAGAGGGAAAGGTAAATAGTTTTTTTGGAAGAAAAAAAAACTAGGGGAATGGTAATATTTATATTATTCTTTTTGTTTTTATTTTAAAAGAAAATTGGGATCCCTAGGTTTATTCAAATCATTCATTTGTGACATACATTTTGATTTATCATTATCTTACACATAAATGTTGTCATGGTCAAAGGTAAACAGTATTGTGAAAAAAATTGAAAAATTAAATATTTGTATATGTTAACAGTT